GAGGCTCCAACCTTCCTATCGGACTCACACCCTGAGAGAGGGGGAAACATCGAGGGCTTCTGGAAGAGGAAAATAGGTATAGCCGGTTATATGAATTGTGAATATGTAGGTGAAAAACAAGGATAGGGGGGATTTAGCTCCTCAATATTTACTTGTTCGCTAGGAACAACAAGAACATCTCAAAAAACAACATAGTTTAGGATTCTTCTTTTCTTTTTGTTTTCCTTTGCAACTTTTCTCCCCCAAAAGCTTTCTACCAACCAAGAAGAACATAGTCAAAGACTTTGCCCCAAAAATTTTGAAGCCTGCCTGTTGCTCGTCGTCTACCCCTGGAATAGCTTTGCTGTCGATGGTTGGAATCGTTTTGCCATCAACTCCCGGAATCGTTTGGACGAAGGAGAAATAGAGACGAGTTTGCACATCCTTCGCTATTCAACCTTCAACCGAACGATTTGTAATTTTTTGGTGGCATTCCTAATTTATTTGTTTACACTTGTTTGATTGATGGCTCCTGTAAGGCAAACAATTTGTGTACAACGATGAATATGTATGTAGAGATGGAAAAGATTGGTATTTCACTTGATATTTTTACCTATGGTGTTCCATTAACCACGAGCGACTCCATCATAACTCTCAGTTCAGGAATGACTTCAAACCTAGACAACAAACAATCATCTATTAGAGACAAAGCAATCTTAAGTAAGATAAAAGTTTGATTAAAAGTTTCAATAGACATTAAACAAGTAACAACTCATTATCGAAAAAGAGGAATTTTGACTAAAACAAAGGCTTCATTAAAGAATTCAACAAAAACCATCACAAGATATTAGAAATTAAAACTAATCAAACTACACTAAAAATAGTTTACCTTGTCGCTGGGAAGAAATTGGGATATACACCTAGAAGAAGGAAAAAGGCAGAAGACCTCCTTGCACAATAGTTGGCATTTAAGGTACTGTTCATATTTAATTCAAATGGCACCATTTGATTGCAAAAAAAGAAGAAGAAGAGTCCTTAACTACGACGTTTATTGTGGACAGCAGACTCTAGTTGTTCCTAATGAACAACAGAGGAGCGGAATCCGAGAGGAAGATAGAGGAAAGGGTTGTAACAGAAGATAAACTAAAAAGCATGGTTAGGAATGGGTTTAATAGGCTTTAACATTGAGGGATAAAAATGAGATAATTGTAGTTTTGGAGGATAAAAGTGGAAAACAAATATTTTTCAAGTATGCTCACATTTTAAAGTAGTATAGATAACATAATTTGTAAGTAATGAGCACCAAATCCGTTGTAGCACAATTGGTAAAGATCTTTACAAGATGTTCTAGGTTTGAACCCCGGCAGCGGAAATTTTTTTTCTGGTATGTCTTTTGATTTTAAATTAAGAAGTAAATTTGGATCTGAGTTGAATTTATATTAATAACATAATTTGTAACTAATGAGCACCAAATCCGTTGTAGCACAATTGGTAAAGATCTTTACAAGATGTTCCGGGTTTGAACCCCGGTAACATAATTTGTAACTAATGAGCACCAAATCCGTTGAAGCACAATTGGTAAAAATCTTTATAAGATTTTTCGGATTCAAACCCCAACAGTAGAAATTTTTTATCTAGTCTGTCTTTTGGTTTTAAACGGAGAAGTAAATTTGGATCTAACTTGAATTTATATTAATAACATAATTTGTAACTAAGGAACACTAAATCCATTGTAGCACAATTGGTAAAGATCTTTTGGGTTCAAACCCTGGAGGCTGAATTTTTTTTCCTAGTCTGTCTTTTGGTTTTAAACCTAGAAGTAAATTTGGATCTGACTTGAATTTATATTAATAATATAATTTGTAACTAATGAGCCCATTGTAGCACAATTGGTAAAGATCTTTATAAAATGTTTCGGGTTCGAACCTTGGCAACGAAAGTTCTTTTTCTTGTCTATCTTTTGGTTTTAAACCTAGAAGTAAATTTGGATCTGACTTGAATTTATATTAATAACATAATTTGTAACTAATGAGCACCAAATTCGTTGTAGCATAATTGGTGATCTTCATAACATTTTTTGGGTTTGAACCTCGGTAGTGAAATTTTTTTTTTTGGTTTGTCTTTTGGTTTTAAACTAACGTTGCATTTGGTATGCGATAATGTTTTTTAATAGAAATGGAATGAACTTGGAAATGGAATGGAATGTGCATTACCATTCCAATGTTTGACAACTGTTTAGGATTAAGTGCTGGAATAAAATGTTAATTTCATTCTTATGTTTGGATAAAACAACTTTTTAATTGGAGGAAGAAGAGAAGAAGTGAGAAAAAGAGAAGAAAGATCAAATGAGGAGCAGAGGGCGATCGATCAGGGAGAAAAGACGAGATTGTGTTTTTTTTTTAACAGAATGGCGCACTCTTGAATGTAAATGGAATGAGAAATACTAAGGTAGATTTGGTAATGCCTAATCCCACAATTTGTGGGATTAGCTATTCTTTAGGAATGGGAATGAACTTCAATTCCTATCAACCAAACATAGGAATCAGCATTACCAAAGAATGCATATTCCATTCCCACTCTTAATCCCACATACCAAACACAGCTTAAGTAAATTTAGATCTGACCTAAATTTATATTAATAACATAATTTGTAATTAATGAGCACCAAATCCGTTGTAGCACAATTGGCAAAAAAATTTATAAGATTTTTCAGGTTGGAACCTCGGCAGCGGAATTTTTTTTTCTAGTTTGTCTTTTGGTTTTAAACCAAGAAATAAATTTGAATATGACTTGAATTTATGTTAATAACATAATTTGTAACTACTAAGTATCAAATCTGTTGTAGCACAAAAGGTAAAAATCTTTCCCAGTGGCGGAAATTTTTTCCCTGGTATGTCTTTTGGTTTTAAATTGAGAAGTAAATTTGGATCTGACTTGAATTTATATTAATAAAATAAATTTACCTAGTGACCTCCAAATTCACTGTACCACCATTGGTAAAGAACTTTATAAGATTTTCCGGGTTCAAACCCCGGCAGTGGAATTTTTTTTTGCTAGTATGTCTTTGGGTTTTAAAGAGATAATGTAAATTTGTATCTGACTTGAATTTATATTAATAGTAAAATTTGTAATTGTTGAGAGTAGAATCTGTTGTAGCACTATTGGTAAGGATCTTGTTAAAATCTTTCGGGTTCGAACTCCGGCAGCCAATTTAATATATTTTTTTCACATCCTCCATTCCAACCTTGGTTATCTCGGTTATTTTATTTTTATAAATAGAAAAACGCTATAGCATTGCTTTTTTACTTTTTATGCGTTCGAGTGTTCATCGTACTTAACGGGTAAGAATTATGATATTCTATATTTTTACGCGATATTTTGTGAAAGATTTTTTTTTAATCTACTTTAACCGATCAAACGTACTATTCTTAATGGAATTCTATTCAAAACAATCGAGTAGGAAATTTGATGAATACATATTTTTAGTTATCAATTTGTGTATCATTTTAACAACTTAATTAAGCAACTTACACCAATTAACTAATATAATAAATCAATAACACTAAAGAAACATAATAAATTCAATAATTTATAAATAATTACAAAAAAATCATAAACATTAATACATCATAATTGAGTTTGACTCTAAAGAAGAGAATAAGGTGTAGGGATTTTAGGGTTTAAGAACACGTTAACACATATTTTAAAGGGTTAATTGTAAACTGTAACTCGAAAAATCGTTTGAATCTTAATTTACATCTTCAAAGATAAAAAATTTTAATTTACACTTCAAAAATAGAAATTTGTATAATGCGCACTTGAAAGTAAAAGCCGTTAGTTTGCTGTCAAAAATTAAATGGGTAAATTACACATAGATCCTCTTTTACTTGTCACTTAATCATTTAGACCTCCCATATTTAGAATATTACCCGTACACCTTCTGACGTTTGTGCATGTGTGACACATAACTCCTTATCATTGATATCTGTTAATATAATCGTTAAAAAATATGATTTTATCTTAATAAAAATTATAATTTCATACTACCCTTTATTTTGTAGGTCTGTTATACTCTAAAATTTAAAATCAAGTTTACCATTTGAATGTTCAATATAATAAATGTATTTATATAATGTTCTTTATATCCAATACAATACATTACTTAAACAGAATTATTTGAATGCTCAATTAGGGGAACATTTTTTGTCATATTTGAATTTTTAAAAGATGTAGGTGTAATATTTCAAATGTGAGGGGTTTAAGTGATTAAATGACAAGCAAAAGAGTATCTAGATGTAATTTATTCATTTAGCTTTAGAAGGCAAACTTATGGTTGTTAACTCAAGGTGCATATTAATATAAATTTCTATTTTTGAGAGTACAAATTTATATGTTTGATCTTTTGAGAGTGCAAATTAAGATTCGAACAATTTTTTAGGGTGCAATTTAAGATTAACCCTATTATAAAATATAGGAAAAATTTCAGTTACACCCTTTCTAGTTTATTATATCTAACACCCTTTTTAATTTATATTTAAACATCACTAATACCCCTGCCATTAAACCACAATTTTTAATAAAAAAATTATCTAAAATACAAATATTGTTCCTACATAAACTCCAAACATTTATTTACATAAAATTCGATAAAAATTCGACCCGAATAAAATTTAGTTGTTCACATATTAAAATTCAAACTGAACAAGTAGATTCCACATATTAAATAAGTATTTATTCATATCATACATTAACTATTCTCGTGGGATTTACTTATCTATTTATTATCCTATTATCTTATCATTGGATGATTATACTATATGGATAATTCTATCATTGGATGATTATACTATATGGAAAATGTAATGCAACTGTCGCACTCAATTTTTACTATGGATTCGGAAAGAATTTGTCAGAATTGTAATCATGGCCGTTAAAAGGCTATAAGGACTAACGGTCAGGATCTTCCTGAGAATATTCCTTAGAACGATCATCTCGAAGAGATTCGAATTGTCGTCCAAATTCCAAACTGTTAGATCTGTTCGAGGCCTGAGGGCGGAGAAAACAAATTAAACACTCTCTCTCTCTCTCTGTCTCTGAGACTCTGTATGCTGTGAGTGTGTTCTCTTTTTTGATCATCAACCACAAGCAATCACCTAAAAAAGCCTGATAGTTTCAGCATTTTCCCCCTCATTTCAGCTCTCTAGCAAATACTCAGAGGTAATATTTTTCTGCTTCAATCCAATTCTCTTAAATTCTTCAAATCTGGTGAGCGTTTTTATTCGCATTTCCATTTGAACTGATAACAATACTGGGCCAATGCTATTCCTTTGTATAATCTAATACTGTGCGAACCAATTTTGTAGTATATTAAAGTTTATACATTTTTATTATTCATGAATATGTCTACATTTGGATTCAGGGATCTGAAGGGTTCAAAATCCTTTAACTTAGATAATTGATCCAAGCCAGCAATTCTAGAATACTTCTGTTGGATTATCACATATGAGACCCCAAAACTAATAGGAAAAGAATTGAAAGAGACATAATAAACCTTCAATAAATATGTTTGTTACAGTCATGATAGGAAATATAGAGATCTAGCACTATCTGGATAAGTTTGGGTTATAATATTTTATTCCTATAAATAGGGTTTAGTATAATGTAATCAGCTATCAGATTGTTAGTTAGTAAAGCATCAATTAGTGTTTTGGTCTGTGAATGTATGAATGTTGGTATGATGTATCGAGCCACATATATCTTTCTGTTTTGTTTTATTATTTTTCCTATCTTGGATTCCTGCCTTCCAACGATTGGTATCAATGTTAATTAATCGCAAAACCAACACCCTTAATTTATATCTATACACTCTAAATCTGTGTATCAAAAATCTATGCCCCAGATTCAAATCCAGCTTTCCAAAAGCAAGGTTAAACTGAAAACTGCAATGAGAGCTTCAATTCTTATATTACATTCTACACCATTCCATAGAGATGTGCCTCGTTCTTCCTCTGGTGTGCACAAGTAGCATTTCACTACTTTTCATCTTGAAGCCTCTAATAAGTTGTCACCATGATGTGTTGCTAGGTCTTTTCTAAATAATCAAATTGTCCACTAATTGTGATTTATGTCTACGACTTGGATGTGTTACATAAATTTTCCTGTGTACTCTTTGTTTATGATGTTAATGGATTCTGTTCTTTTTTGGACCTTGATTTTGGTGTGAGTACTTTTGTTGCCCTCTTTTAGTATTTTCATTTGACCTGAGTGTAGTTTTTTTTTTTGTGAGCCTCAAATCATGTCAAACTGAAATTGAGGCTTGACAGCGTTGGCTCAAATTTAATGGTTTTAATGTACTTAATGTTTGATTCAATATATTGTTTGTCTACTAATGGCATCAGCCACAGGTTGCTAAACCGTGTTTTGAATTTTCTTCAAAACTATGACTCGTAGTTTCCTGACACCTAGAATAGAAAAGGGTAACTACATATTTTTTTCTATCAAGCATCTATAATTAAGTGGCACTTGTGAACTAGTTGTGTATCTGTTTTTATATTTTGGCATGTTATTGTGTTTCTCTTTTTGCAGACTTTAATATCAACCTTTACCCTAACTTATATTGAGGGGAGGAAGTGAGGTTTAAGTTACCTTTCTAATATATGGTCAAATAGTCTAGAGACAAATTCTTGATGTTCCTTTTCTTTAACAGGGAAAATGATGGCAACGACATCAGCAAATACCTTTTCAGTCGGATCAGCTATATCATTCAACCCCAAAGCAAACGCACATCCGCAATCAAAGGCCTTTGGCATTAAATTGAACACTCCGCACTTTCTGAGTTTCAGTGGCCTTAAGGCCACATCATCCATTAGATGTGAATCAGAATCGTCCTTCTTAGGCAAGGAAAGTAGTGCAGTTCTTCGACAATCTGTCAAACCAAACGCCCTAAAACAAAACCAGAGATCTTGGAGTTTCCTTCAGCCTCAGGCATCTTACAAAGTGACAATTCTAGGAGCTGCAGGGGGTATCGGCCAGCCACTAGCACTTCTGGTCAAGATGTCACCATTAATTTCAGCCCTTCATCTTTATGATATAGCAAATGTCAAGGGGGTTGCAGCTGATCTCAGTCACTGCAATACTCCTTCTCAAGTTTTGGATTTCACCGGAGCTTCTGAATTGGCCGATTCTTTGAAAGGCGTAGATGTAGTTGTGATACCTGCTGGTGTTCCAAGGAAGCCGGGAATGACCCGTGATGACCTCTTCAACATCAATGCCAGTATAGTGAAGACCTTGATTGAGGCTGTAGCTGATAACTGTCCTGATGCCTTCATCCAAATAATTAGCAACCCAGTCAACTCTACAGTGCCAATTGCAGCAGAAGTTTTGAAGCAGAAGGGTGTATATGATCCCAAGAAGCTCTTTGGTGTTACCACTCTTGATGTTGTCAGAGCAAACACATTTGTGGCGCAGAAGAAAAACCTTAAGCTCATTGATGTTGATGTGCCAGTTGTTGGGGGACATGCTGGAATAACTATCCTACCCCTACTGTCAAAAACAAAACCCTCTGTTAGTTTGAGCGATGAAGAACTGCAAGAGCTAACAATGAGGATCCAGAATGCTGGTACAGAAGTTGTAGAGGCAAAGGTTGGTGCAGGGTCTGCTACATTGTCTATGGCCTATGCTGCAGCAAGATTCGTTGAGTCCTCTCTCCGTGCTCTTGATGGAGATGGTGATGTCTACGAGTGTTGTTACATTCAGTCAGAGTTGACTGAGATTCCATTTTTCGCATCAAGGGTTAAGCTTGGAAGGAAAGGGGTTGAGGCCGTGATTTCATCCGACCTTCAAGGATTGACTGAGTATGAGGAAAAGGCTCTGGGAGCCCTCAAGCCAGAGCTGAAAGCCAGCATCGAGAAGGGGATAGATTTTGTCCACAAACAACCAGTGGATGCCTAGATTTGATAGCTGAAGTGATTGCTTCGAAAGAGGAATAAAGTAAGTGTGGCTTATCCTTGCAGATTCATCAATGCATTTGCATCAATTTTGTAGACTACTTGATGTACTGCATTTTGCTGGTCCGTTTGTGTTTGAATTACATGACAGAAACAATTGAAGAGTATTGTGGTGTTGTAGAATTATGTTTTCATGGGCAGTAGGTTGTACTTAAAAAACATTGCCGGTGCACTGTACCAAAGCAATTTTGATTGTTCTGGATGAATAGAAACGAGCTCTTTATCTCAGTTGCATGAATTAAAGCAGGTGCATTCTCTCAATGCTACTTATAGTCGTGTGCTTCATGATTGACACATGACATGGAGAATGGGTTTTGATTGACACTGTTTCTGTTTAGCTTTTGCAGCATGATGGATATGACAATGTACAATTTCTGGGTGGTTTACATTATACAGGGGGATGATTACACAACACGCTGCCTATTTTCTGCTACAATATTTTCATTTTTGTTTGTCATTTGATATTTTCTGTTACAATGTTAAGTTTGAAACTACAATCAATAGATTCCAACCAATTTGTTGATGAAAGCAAACCTCTCTTGATGGTCAGTAGTTTGATTACTCAAAAGTGGTTTCGTAGCTAAAAATTATTCTCATGTTCCTTCGGTTGGTTACTTTCCATTAAATTATGCTCAAAAAAGGGCATATAGTAGGCTGCCGTGAACAGATAAAATATAGTGAATATATAAGAAAAGAAATTTCTTAGCCTCATTGTGGGCTTCAGCATTTAAAAGCTTTGTAATTGTCCTCTGTTTTGCATCATGAAGAGTTGGAATGCATGTGTAGATTATATTAACACTGTTGGGATTTTGTAGTGCTGTGAACTATTTATTTTATGCACGCGCACACACACACAAACAGAGGGGGAGAGTGAGGTGATATAGTAATGTGTATTTCCATGGGAGTTCATTTCTGTTATGTTTCAACTACATGAAGCCGATAAGTCAACAAGGTTCATTTGCCTAGAGTATCATGTTGGTTGAAGAAAGACTGTCATAAGAGAGAGACTTCATCTCCTATTCATCTTCATGCCTAGTCCCACATTCCCCAGTAGCTTCTTCCACACTTGCACAGTTACTGCTATAAGGTGATTGCATTTCCATCATACCCATAAGCTTCCTCTTCTTATAGTTTGCTTTGAAACATGCTTGTCTGAGCCTCTTAGTTTTGTCCTCAAGTTGCTTATCTGGTACCTTCTCCATTAAACTTCTCTCTTGCTCCAATATCCCTATGGCCTCTCTCAATTTCTCTTCAGCCCCTTCTCCTTCTTCCTTCCCCAATTCCTGCAAAACCCATATATTTTACAATCATCACTGTTTATTTCATGCATATAATACATCTGTATACATATATTTTCATTCTTCCATATATAAAGTACTGAAGTCAATTTAAACGTGTCATATTCCGGCCTTATCATTTTGAGTTCATGTTAAACGCTACATAATTTTAATTTACTCATTTTTTTAAAAATGCCAAATATTTTGACACTTGCTTGACCTATTTATTAAACATATTATGATTGGTTAAAATGCATAGTCCATGAACTAGAAATCCAAATTCAGTACTCGTTTNGATGGATATGACAATGTACAATTTCTGGGTGGTTTACATTATACAGGGGGATGATTACACAACACGCTGCCTATTTTCTGCTACAATATTTTCATTTTTGTTTGTCATTTGATATTTTCTGTTACAATGTTAAGTTTGAAACTACAATCAATAGATTCCAACCAATTTGTTGATGAAAGCAAACCTCTCTTGATGGTCAGTAGTTTGATTACTCAAAAGTGGTTTCGTAGCTAAAAATTATTCTCATGTTCCTTCGGTTGGTTACTTTCCATTAAATTATGCTCAAAAAAGGGCATATAGTAGGCTGCCGTGAACAGATAAAATATAGTGAATATATAAGAAAAGAAATTTCTTAGCCTCATTGTGGGCTTCAGCATTTAAAAGCTTTGTAATTGTCCTCTGTTTTGCATCATGAAGAGTTGGAATGCATGTGTAGATTATATTAACACTGTTGGGATTTTGTAGTGCTGTGAACTATTTATTTTATGCACGCGCACACACACACAAACAGAGGGGGAGAGTGAGGTGATATAGTAATGTGTATTTCCATGGGAGTTCATTTCTGTTATGTTTCAACTACATGAAGCCGATAAGTCAACAAGGTTCATTTGCCTAGAGTATCATGTTGGTTGAAGAAAGACTGTCATAAGAGAGAGACTTCATCTCCTATTCATCTTCATGCCTAGTCCCACATTCCCCAGTAGCTTCTTCCACACTTGCACAGTTACTGCTATAAGGTGATTGCATTTCCATCATACCCATAAGCTTCCTCTTCTTATAGTTTGCTTTGAAACATGCTTGTCTGAGCCTCTTAGTTTTGTCCTCAAGTTGCTTATCTGGTACCTTCTCCATTAAACTTCTCTCTTGCTCCAATATCCCTATGGCCTCTCTCAATTTCTCTTCAGCCCCTTCTCCTTCTTCCTTCCCCAATTCCTGCAAAACCCATATATTTTACAATCATCACTGTTTATTTCATGCATATAATACATCTGTATACATATATTTTCATTCTTCCATATATAAAGTACTGAAGTCAATTTAAACGTGTCATATTCCGGCCTTATCATTTTGAGTTCATGTTAAACGCTACATAATTTTAATTTACTCATTTTTTTAAAAATGCCAAATATTTTGACACTTGCTTGACCTATTTATTAAACATATTATGATTGGTTAAAATGCATAGTCCATGAACTAGAAATCCAAATTCAGTACTCGTTTATCTCTCAACTGAACCTACTACCTGTACGTGGATAGATGCCCAACAAAAAAAAAAATCATACTTAACCAAATTTGACTTTTACACTAATTTAACTCATCTTTGAGTTAATGAGTCGTACTATTTTTGAGTTTGTGTTAAAAACTAATCCATAGTAATTAGCTATTGATAATATTAGCATATCATGTCCAAAGTTTGGACCGTCGATATATGAAGAGTACCTGCACATTGTTGATTAGGGTTTGGAGGCTCATCAACTTCCGGTGAGGCCACCTACGTATTCCCAACTCCCTACACCTTTTCTTCAACAGAGTCAATCCAACGTTAAGCTCCTTTGCAGCTTGTGTTATTGGCATGTAGAAGTATTGAGAAATCGTTTTTCTGGATAGAGTTTTCGAACTGCCTCCGCCGGCCTTCTCCTCTCTGCACCTCGTCTTCACCTTCTCTCCCACACATTCTTCACGGGCTTCTACAGTACTACTAATATCACACAACAACACCTGGTTGTATGCTTCGAATCCACTACTCATTTCATTCCAAACCCCCAACCCACTTCCAAATCCACAAAAGAAATCCTCTGCAATAACAGAATATTGACACCAACACAAATCAAATTTTTTTATTTTTTTTAAAAAATAAATTTAACTCGATGCATGAGACCCGTCTACAAATTCCGAAAGATGGTTAGAGGTCAGATATAAGCAACCTTCCACCGATCATAGAAATTATTTCCATGATTTAAAACCATGCATGGTACGTACATAGAACATAGTTGAATAACTGTTGTAATAGTTCAAGATATATAGAACAACTTTATCGCTACTTCAAACTCATGCTGTTTACCTTGGATGGCATTTTGGGTTGGTACAGGTTCCACTGATGAATACAAGGGATCATTCTGAAACATCTCCATCCAATTCCAGGGCAAAACATCAAGAGCAGTCTCTTGTATTGGAAAATCATATTGACAGTCTAATGGAGAATATCCACTTCCAAATTACATTACAGAGAAAGTGGAATATGTTAAAAACCTCTCTTCTGCATAAACTACACTAAGAAAACTTGATCAAATAACAAGGAAGTGGCAAAAAAAAAAACCCATAATGTTACCTGAAATCTAGTGGGGGCAGTTGGCTGGGAAAGCAGAACACTTCTTCATCTTCTTTAGGAGTCATTACTTCATATCTTGACAATCCCTTAAGCGATGTCTGACTTCCTATGTAGAGAGAGAGAGAGAAAGAGTTATCTTTCTGGTTTTTTGGAGTCTACTAATGACTGATGAGTTGCCAATTGCATGGGATGGAGCAAATAAAAAGAGACTATGGGAGAGAGAAATAAATAGGAGGGAAGAAAGATTAGGGCATTGATGAACGAAGTTGAACGTAATTATAGTAATTACTGCATGGGAGATCGTGCGCCTTCGCATGGATAAAACCGGCCCAACTGATGCATGTTCATATGTACAAACTGTGTATGAAAATTATATATCTATTTTTTATCATCGTGTTTGTGCGCAAGTGTGAAAAGAGTTTCATCAGAATCACCGGCGTGTGTGTGTGTGTGTGAGAGAGAGAGAGAGAGAGGGAGAGAAGGAATTAAATATGAGATTGGAACTTGAAATATTGCAAAACAGCGATGTTATTGACACATAATTTAAGGACATAATGAGTTGTCACCAATGATATGATAATGAATTCATTAATGTTAGAATGAGACCTATCATTAAATACATTTCATTATCATTTCATTTGTGATAACTCATTATATCTTCAAATTATGTCTTTCAATTATGTCCCAATAACATTAGTGATTGTCAAACTCAGTTCAAAACTCACTTCAGTACAGGCTTAAAGCCCGTACGGGTAGCCCCATAACTCGGCAACAAACAAAAAAATTCTAACCCCAAGAAGTATATTAAAATTTGAGAAATTTGAAGGTTGATCCCCTTTGTGGACTTATTTGGTGATAAATTTATCAAAAAAACTTGTTTAATATTAAGTTCATTTTGATATCTATTGTTCAAAATACCTCATTAGTTATATTTAATTACAACAAATTTGAAAACTAACAACTCTTAAATTTTAGAAGTTTGATATATATATATATATATATATACTAGTTATTGCATATGTCTGAAGGCACAGAGTAATAAAAAATAGTAAACAATAAACATATTTGTATTTATATTCAAAATAAAATTACAAATATAGAGAAAAGATAAAATAATTTAAGTATTGATTTGTAGTGGGGGTGAAAGGTGGTGGACGGCAGTGCTAGTGAAAAAAGACGGTGATGGTTGTGCTGGGTGACAATGACCGTGGTGGCGGTAGTGGTGGTGGCGACAGTGATGGTGGTGGTAGCGACGACAGTGGTGGTGGCAGTGGCGATGGTGGTGGGTGGAGTGGTTTCAAATACAATTTTTTTTTTTTTAAAGTAATTATGAGATGTAATTTATAAAAGTACTTTAAAAAAGTTATTTCAAACACACCCTTAAATATCTATTTTTCCTATTAACTTTAGGGTGTTAATATTAGCCGTTAGATTAACTTTAAAGTAGCTTACAATTCAAATCTCAAAAGATAAACAAAATGACTTTTGTTATTCGCGATTAGATAGCTTTAAATTTTACTTTAAAGTTAATCTATTAATTAATATTAACGCTCTAAATTTAATAGGAAAAATAAATTCCTACGGATGTATTTGGAGTGACTTTTTAAAATATATTTTTAAAAATTATTTCTCATAAATACTTTAAAAAAATTAGTATTTGAAACCGCCCCACCACTACCTCTACCACCACCATCACTGTCGCCGCCACCACCACCACTGCCACCGCTGTCGTCGTCGTCGCCACCACCGTCGCCATGGCCACCGTTGCCGCCACCACCGTTGCGGCCGCCACGACAATCATTGCCACCCACCACCACTATCACCGTCTCCTACCATTACTACTGTCACCCACCACCTCTTATCCCCACTACAAATCGATGTTTAAATTTTTTTTTCTCTTCTCTAAGTTTGTGATTTAATTTTGGATATGAATACAAATATATTTATTATATACCATTTTTTATTACTTTGTGCCTTAAGGCACAGACAATAACTAGTATATATATATATATATATAATAACATTAAATATAAAAAATAGTAACATTCAAACACAAAAAATAATACCACTTAACCCCAAAAAATAGTAACATTTAAAAATAAAAAATAGTAACAATGAATATTAATATTTAAAAAAAATAATAGTAGTATCGTGATTAACAAAAAAAAGTAACACAGTATTTCGAAAAAATAGTAACATGCACAACAAAAAAATAGTAACATGGAAAAAAAATAATAACTTGCATAGTAACATTTAATATTAAATTAACTATAGTCTACTCAGCAAAAAAAAAATATGAGAGAGAGAGAGAGAGAAATGGTAATGATGTAAAATTTTAATTTTAATTTCAGATGGTATGAAAAAAAATCGTTCATTAAGTGTGAATCAATTATGATTATTTAGGAAACTGATTTAATGTTGAAGATTGATTAAAAACAGACTTACCCCCAAATAAAATTTTTTGGTGGACTAAACTCATTATAAGTTCCTTAAAGGAGACTCAATCTCGATTTTCACTAAAATTTTCTAATATATGGTTGTGTATAAATTAAGCAAATTTTGATACCCATAATTTAGACGGTTTAAAAATACAATATGACATGACTCATCCACACATCCTAAAAACACGATGATTTCCCATTTATCACCCAAGAGCCACTTGTTACACTTGATAAACCATATTGGTGCATGTTTTCCACCAAATAATATTGCACACATTTCAATTCAGCTATTTATTCCTATTTCTGAATATGAGACTTGACTCAGTTTGTACTCTGAGTGGACTCAGAAACCATTCCTTTGGAAGTATAAGGCACCAATTATTTCTAGATAGAGGAAATCAAATCATCAATTATTATTCATTTAAGCAAGATAACTTTTTTGAGGGAGTTACAGTTATATATATATATGCACTAACTTATTATTATTCACTAGCATGTTCTTTACTTCTTTTTTATTAGGGTGCATGAGAGGTTACACAACTAAGCTTTAATATTTACTGCAGTTATTGATAATTGCAGAACCAAGAAGATTAAAATCCAATAGGCGCACTACTTGTGAAATTAAGTTCACTCAAAAAAACAGAAAAGGATTTGATTGGATGTGTTTTGCTTAAGATTGAGCTTATTTTATCTATATTTATATTTACACTACTTTAAAATGTCACTATACTTCAAAAAATATTTTTTTTCCAATTGTACCTAGGGGTGTTTATGGGCAACGTTACCCATGGGTCCCGTTATCCTACCCGAAAAAAATGGCCCGAAACTCGATAGTTGGCCTGCCCGATCCTGAGCTCAATATCTTTAAAAAGAGGGCTTGAATTTGTCCCCAAACCCATTACTCTGTCCAATAACCCTCGTAAAAAAACCCATTAAAATCCGGCCCAAGAACCCGCTCACCCACCTTTCATTTGAAAAAAAATTATATTTTTAGACCATTTAATTTGAAACTTTGAAATAAGTTTCCCAATGTCGAAATTTGAATTTTTAAAAATGTAGTTACTATAAATAATGTATTATTTTTATTTCATGTATTAAGTATACAAGTTTTAAAGGGTAGAGTAATGCAAATGATAGCTAAGTGAGTAAGAGTTTACCTAGTTGGGATATATGTATTTTATTGACTGTAGTTCATTCCTTAATCAAAAATAAAATTATTAATTATTTTAATTTTATTCATTTTGACTCTACTTTTGATTCAAAAATATAATTTACACAAATATTAAGTTACAAAAATATTTATTATTTTTAAATGAAGCTGTATATAGAAAAGTCCGCCCAATAGGCTCGTGGGTTGAGCTGCGAGTAGCCTACCCCTACTAGAAGCCTGGATCGGCCCGCCCGATAACTCACTTGGATAAGGGTTTGGGCCTACACTATCCAGGCCAGCCCGAAAAAATTTTTGTTGGCCTAGCCCAGCCCATGGACACCCCTAATTGTACCCGCCAACAATGAAAGTATTACATTCTTATCTTCTAGTGATGTTTAATCTTTTTTTAATGATAATCTAAAATCAAGCTTAGTCTTTCAAATTGTTAAACCCTACAAATTTTGCAATAAGTATTCAAAGGATTGAATAATAATAAATACATCAATTGCTAGATTAACCACACTACTTAATTACCAACAATATGATTAGGTCATTTTAATCGAACTACTATAATAATATAGCATCCTTTCATCTCTCTCAATGTACATTTAATATGGTTTGATTTTTTACTTTTTTTCCAAATTTTCTCTTTCTTGTATCCATATATTAGAAATCCCACTTTGTTTTTAGTATCTATTTGGAGTACATGACTGATTACTTGGTTTGTTTATTGAAGTTTTATTCAAAGAGAATAGAAAGCGGTTTCGAGAACTAGATAGTTTTAGATTCAGAACTAGATGAATCTCTAATGGAGAGAGGATCTAAGTATTTTGGGTATCTATCTCTTCATAACTATATAGTTTGATTATGAACCATTTCCTTTTTCTTATGCTTTTGTGTTTTAACATTTGAATTCAAGTTTCTTATAATTGGGTTTCTTTTAATTTTGTATATTATGAATTTTTAGGTGCTCACATTACAGAATGAGATGCAAGATTAGAGCACCTTGTTGTGATGAGATATTCGCACGCAGGCATTGTCATAATGAATATATGGTTAAGTTCTTCCCTAATTTTTTTGGAGTTAACAAAATTTCTTTTTATATTATTTTCCTTTTTATACGATTACCATATTTAGTAATGCATTACATTTGATTTTATTTGGATAAAACATCTAATTTTATTTAACATTGAACATAGTTCACTATAGTTGACTAAACTTAGTAGATAATACTACTAAAAATGCACCCCTCCATCTTTTGTGTTTTTATTACAGGAAATGCATCATTTCATCCCTCTCTATCATCTACTTAATAATCGGTTATCATCTACTTAATAACACATGAAAAATCTAGTTCGAATGTCATGACTTCAATGGTTATCTAAAAATACCAATTTCAAATCCCATAGAAAATATTTTGATTAACCCGATGTTCAAGATATATAGGTTACACACAAGTCTGTCGAGTCATTAGGAAAATTCTTATAATGGTAGTAACTTATACCCATTTCACTTTTGAAAATAGACTAGACAATGGTATCGACAAAACAAATTCAGTATCATACCTTCAAAATTTATTACTTTAATTGGTATTTTTATTATAAGTTATTTTACAACTAAAAAAATTTACCATTTTTCTAAGTAATTTATCACTACTGTAAATATTTTTATTATTGTTGTAATAATTATTTTTATCACTTTTCTTCTGTACAAAAAATTTTATTATTTATGTAAGTAATTTATGACATACGTGGATATTTTTACCACTACTGCAAGAATTATTTTTATAACTTTTTTCAACATCACAACTGTTATAAAAATATAATAAATAAAAATATGGTACCAAAGAAAAAAATATTCCAGTAAAATTGAGAACACCTTTGGAAATAAGCAAATAAAGGTGCTTTAAATTGACAAAAGTCCGTTCAACCAAGTGCTCAGAAAAATAGCTGCTGCTTTTTTTTTTTTTTTTTGATCAGATCATAAAAATAGCTGATGGTTTGAACGTACATGAAAACTTCATTTAATTACCAACATGAACCACCAACCAGTAATAGTCCAAATTTGAATGGCAGAACAGCTTGGCTAAATACGTAGAATCCAAAACAAATTAACAAAAAAACAAGGTACAGATGCTTCTTCAATATAAATGTTGCAATTCTAAATACAACTCCACTGCAGGTAAACAAATACCAATGCCTTAGTTTCTCCACTTTCCTCCTCTTCCCCGTCCACACCCACCTCCACCTCTACGCCCACCTAATACCTTATTGACATCGGCTTTTAGTTGCATATTTTCTGGCAAGGGAAGTATGTGTTCAACACACTTTCGAAAGCTAAAATCATCAACAGATTTATCATTCCTTATGAGAAAGAAGCAGCGACTTTTAAATTGAGGATGGTATCTGACTTGGAAGGCATGAATCCCTTCACCAATCTTTTTGTCAGCTTCCAGATGACCCTTCTTGATCAACTCCAGCAACACCGTGTACTCATACTGCATTTACATAAACAGGCAAAAATAGTGAGCAACATGAATCACCAAATTCAACAAATTATCATTGGATTGTGTCCTGCTAATTTCATCAACAATCAGATCCACTTTAATTTGCAATTTCATGCAGCTATGTAATGTCACTTTTGGCTGCAGAAAAGAAAACACCAGTAGCCAAGGATACAGGACTGAAATTCTGTTGAGTTTACAACAGCACTGGGGAAAAAAAACAGGCAAATCAACCTCCAGGTGTACGAAACAATGTCCAATCATGTTTCTAACAGGTTCACATTCCTACACATCCTACAGCAAAATGCCTTTTTGGTATTGTATTGGGAGACTAAGAGGAAGCCATGTCGAATTAAATGAAATTTCATCCATCACAATACCAGAGTATAAAGCCACTGTAAAAACAAATTCGTAGAGAATACGAACCAAATTTTACTATCCAAAACAAGATGATCAACAAATCAATTACTTTTTCCTAACCTACGTGGTCCCATCATAGTAGTGCATAGAGAAACCTCAAAAGTTCCAAAACTGTTTCATTGAATCAAGCTCACGTTTAACACAACAAAGCCAGTCTTCAAACGGATTTTTGCCACAAATCATGTGTTTACAATTCAAACAATTAAGAGGAGCGACTGTAAAAAAACTCCAATAAACAACGTTGATCAATCAGCCCTGTGCTTAAACATAACAAGAAATGGATGAGTGGTAGTGGCAAAAAGTGAACAGCGCAAAAGTTAGTTTGAATACATACGAGAGACTGAATCTCAAATAGAGAGGACATCCCCACTTCCCTTCTAGCTAACACTTTTTCCTTGTCATTAAATACCAATAAATTGTGCATTTTAACTAATAAAAAAGCATCTTACACACCACAAAAAACTAGGTGACTTAGAGTTGCTGTTGACAGCTAGTTAACCAATCAAGCCATTGTTCAAAAGCAGTTTTATTCTTGATGCAAAAACATCTAGAACCGAATAACATGTGAAGCATGGAACTTCACTATGCAAACTTTAACATTAGTCATTATTAAGTCAATGACAAATTGAAACTTCCCACTACTATCCCGTGTATGTCGTGTTATATTCCCACTTTACCTACCCAAGCAGCAGCAGAGGCAAGCTTTTGTAGGGACAGAGTGATTCTCCACTCCAAAGCCTTTCAAATATTTTCAAACCATAAATGGGGTTGAGCATATGAAGGCTCCTCTATGTGCAACTCTATCTTCAAACAGACCAACATGAGTGTGACTCACCTTGTATTAGCCTTTCGGTTTGTGTTAGCCCATAATTTGGGGATTTTGAAGTTTTATTGACGTTGAAATGTAAAAGCCTTAAATTGCAATAGGATGTTGAGCTGCTATTATTGTCAGATAACGAAATTGTAATGAGTGACACTGTTTTCTTTCGTGATAGATACTAACAAGGTCATTATTTCTCAGACTGATAAGTATCCGCTATCAGATTAAAACCCACAACTTTAATGTTCTAAGCTCAAGAATTCTATCAGTGCAGTAGGAAGTAGGCAATGATCATTTCGATCACAAGTGTGTAGCTATTACAGTTTTGCTAAATAACACCCACCAGACAAATTTGATAATTTGATCATGTACAATTACATTATCAAATCAATCACACAGTAAATGAGACTTGAAATCGTATGAATACCAAACGAAAACAAAATCAGAATAAATACATAAATACATATGAAATTGGATAAAAAAGAAAGGATGTGATACCTTGTTCACATTGAGATTGGGAGACCAGTAATGGAGAAACTTGTAGAAATAATCAAACATCTCCACGGAAGATCCGAATCTCTTCGGACCCACGCTGACAAGATCCGACCCTTTTTCCTCTCCATCAACACCTTCGCTACCTTCCAAGCTCTCGAGCCTTTGCTCTTCCACGGACTTCTCGATCTTCTGCTTCTTCGATTCACCATTATTCTCTTCTTCTTCTCCTTCTTCCTCTCTCTCTCGCATTGAGTTCGACTCGCCATTCACGGCCGGTTCTGAGTCTGCTTGGGGTGAGTCGGATGGGCTAAGGGTCTCGAGTTCCATGTCTTGAGTAGCTGGGTTGTCTGTCTTTGGCTCTGTGATGGTTTGGGGGACTTCGGTTACTGCTTCGGCCATGGCGTAGCTGCGTGTGTATGTGCGTTGTGGACAGAGAGAGGATAAGAATGAGAAAGAGAAACCCTAGCGTTAAACCCTTTTATGTAGTAGAAATTCACGTATTCCTATAGCAGCAGTAAAAGCTTAAATATTTTGAGTTCAAAATTTAATATATATTATTTATTGATTACTAATATTTATTTTTAAAATCATTTATATTGTATTTTGTCTTTAGATATATAGGTTATCTTTGAATTTTTTTTATACATTAGACCAAATTTATCAAGATGAAACCCAAATTTTTTTTTTTTTTTTGCTATTAAAAAAAATGGATGGAATAAAAGAGAGTGTTTAGAGACCACCTCAATAGATCTTTACTGATGGGATCATGAGCCTTTTAACTACGCTTGTTATTAAACATAGTTAGATTAACATAGCGGTCAACCACCAAACTACAATATAGACTTTAAAAATCAAACATCTAACTTTTAAGATGAGAAATTTAACTAATACCCCACTAAACAACCCTACGGCGGTGATGAAAACCCAGATTTAGCACCACATAAAAGTTCAATACAATCCCAGTACAAGAAACTTCACTTTTCAACCTTTCAATTACCTAACCGCACAATATTTTTCTAATTATTTATGAAGCTAGAAATTAGATTTGTCATTTGTGTCTAGGCAGTTACTCTACTTACATATAAAAATTCTAATATGTTAAACATAATATAAACGACACCAAGTTAATGACATAGAGACCTCTCAATATTACAACAAATCACATAAATGTTATGGCACAAATAATTTTTCCAAACTCAAATTAATAAATAGAAAAAATTTCAGTCATACCTCTTTTAATTTATTATATCTTCAAGGATATCATCTCTGTTTTCTTAATCTTCATTTACCTCCCTTCTAATTTATATTTTAGCATCATTTACACCTCTTACCGTGATTAACCATTATTTACTAATGCAAAAATCTTGAGGTCATGTAAGCTTTTCTCAAAAGAGTAATACTATTTACACTTAAAAATATGATATAATTTGTTAACAAAATGATGTGGCTTCATAGAAATTATTGGATCAATACCAAAATTTAATATATAATGAGATCTACAGTGAATCCAAATATCACAATAAATTAGGTCAGTAAATTATGTCAGTACATTAGATCCCAATAAACACTGCTCTTCTGAAAAATACTCAAATTACTTGTCTTTTTATTCTCCCTCTTTTGAACCTACTGCATCCTATCAATGCAAAACAACTCAACTAGGGGTGTCAAAATGTGTCGGATTTGGGTTATTTTGTGTCGGGTTGATTTTGAATTTGTGTCCAAAATCTCAAAACCAAAACCTGACATGTTTAATAATTGCGTCGAGATGTGTAAACACTAACTTGACCTAGCCATTAAACAGGTTGCCCGAACCCGACCTGTTTGACACATTTAATAAACATGTTATTTTTGGGTTAACACGCATAACATGATATGTTTAACCTGTTTAACATTCATAACATATTTTCACACCAGTTCATTACAATTAAATACATCATTCATCCAAAATTTTAAATCAATTTTTTTACAAATAACATATTACATCTTATCAATGAAATTAACTAAAATACATTCAAGATTCAACTCAAAAATTAAAGGAAGAACTATACTAGTATACTGTCATAATAATGTTAAGTACTATATTGTCAATTATCATAGTAGAAGCAAGAATTAATAAATAATAATGTTAAGACCACATCAGTCATACATAATAGGCAAATTATACTGTCATAAATGGGTTAAACGGGTTTACAATAGGTTAGGTCGAGTTCGTGTTTGAATTATGTCAACCCGTTTAAAATATACAGGTTAATTAGGTCAAAATCAGGTTGACATGATTTTGATATAAACTTGACATGATTTTTTCATGTTTAAGCGTGATGACCTATTTTAACTCATTAACTCGTTTAATTTCGTATTTGACCTATTAATTTTGTGTTTGGTTCGTATCGTGATAAATTGTTGTGTTGAAAATTGACAACCCTAAACCTAACCACCAACAGAAAATTAAGACCCTAGGCGAAATTTTGAACGAGGTCTTATCAATTATTATTATGATCAGATACAAAAATATTTATATAAATTTTTTAAAATTTTATTAGTTGAGATTGTAAATTACTGTTTAAATTTTGTACTGAATTTTTCTTTTTTACTTGTCATTTTAATTGATAAAATTCATTTCAAGGTCTAATAGTTGATATAATAGGAAAAGAATGATTAGATTTTTGTTAGTATAATCATTGACAACATAAATTTTGTAAATAATAAATTTCAAGTCCAATATCTCACACTAAGGGAATTTTTTTGTTATTATTAATTTATGAAAAAATATGAGCGTGAGTTTGATTAAGAGATAATAAAACTGGGTTATAAGAATTAACACGAGCATGATACGAAAAATAAAACAAGTCAATTCACACGATACGATTAGTTAAATGAATTGGTTTGAGTTGACTAGTGTTCAACACAAATCTATAAATGAACCTGTCTATTTATGTATAACTAGTTGATACATGCGAGCGTTGCATGCTGATAATTTTAAGTTATAATTTTGGTTTTTAGTTTTCTCTAAATCGAACTATATGATCACTAATTAAATCAGTCATTAAATTCTTACCCCTCTGATCCCAAATATGTCAAATATTTGTCTCTATTGTTTTTTCTTATGCAAATTACCAAAAAGTAATCTTCTAATAAATAGATCTAAATACACAAAGCCCAACACAAGGAAAAATACCCAAAGCCAAACTCAATGGTGTTTAAGATAACAAGTTGTTCTTTCGGATTGAGTGATTCCTAAGATCTATGTTGGGAAATTTCATATGAAGAACAATAATAATTTTTTATTATGAATTCACATGTCAATTCCAACTTGGTCAATTCAAGTACAAAATTAAATAAATAGAACTACTCAACTTACAACATGTTAGCAATATTTTTGTTCCGTCCATGAAAATATATCGCTGAGAGTTTTCTTATTTGTTTTTTTGTTTTTGTTTTTTAGAAACATAACTATTTCAAGCATTTAAATGCACTTGGGAATTACTTTGCAATACCATAGAGAACAAATTATTTGTAAAACTTGTATTTTCATTTTAGTCACATGATGGGATTAGGGGTATGTCCAAGGGTTCTATAAGAGTTACGTCTTTTTAATTGACAATAACTCGCATGAGAGATTTTTGGGCCAATGAAAAATCACAACAAAATAATATTATTTGATTGTTAGCATGTTTTAAGGATATTATTGTCAATCAAAAACTTTGCACAAGTATTGAGATAGATAGATAATATAAATATTGAAGGAGATTAAATGATGCAATAGGACATGATTGGCAATAAAAAAATTAATTAGGGTTATAAGTAGTATAGATGTATATGTTTGTGAATGTAATTAATTTTAGAAGATCATGGAATATAGTAGGTTCATGTATTTAATTTAAGAAGTTAAAAGGGTATGAAGGATATAATGGACTTTATTATATTTATTGAGGGGAAAAAAGGAAATCAAAAATTTTTCATTGTTAGCCACTTTTATAAGTATATATATATATATATATATATATATATATACTACTAGTTATTACTTGTGTCTGAAGGTACAAAGTAATCAAAATAATAAATAATAAATATATTTGTATTCATATACAAAATTAAATCACAAACATAGAGGAGAGATAAATAATTTTAAGTATCGTTTTATAATAAGGGTGAGAGGTGTTAGGCGGCAGTGGTAATGGTAGTGGTAAGATACGGCGATGGCTATGGTGGGTGGCAATGACCATGGTGGGGGTGGGGGTGGGGGTGGTAGCGGCGATGGTGGTGGTGGTGGCGACGATGATTGCGACGGTGGTAGTGATGGTGGTGACGACGGCAACGGTGACAACGACAGTGGTGGTGATGGTTATGGTGGTGGTGGCGGTGGTAATGATGGTTGTGGTGGCGGTGACAGGGGGTGGTGGTGGTGGTGGTGGTAGTGTTTGTGGCGGCGGCAACAGTGGCGACGACGGTGATGGTGACGGCGACGGCGACAGCGACAGCGATGCCGATAATGGCAGTGGTAGTAGAGGTAGTGGTAGAGCGGTTTTAAACACTATTTTTTTTAAGTATTTATAATAAATAATTTTTAAAAGTACTTTTAAAAAGTTACTTCAAACACACCATTAGGGCCCTATTTTTTCTATTAAATTTAGGGTGTTAATATTAACCGTTAGATTAACTTTAAAGTAAAATTTAAAACAATCTCAACCGCGAATAGTAAAAGTCATTTTATTTATCTTTTAATATTTGAATTGTAAGCTACTTTATTATATAGATATTTGTTTTGTTTGTTAATTTTTATATATTTGATGAAAAAATTAAAAAAATATTAATTTTTTTAAATTGTAGAATTTATTTTTGTTCATTGGATATATCCAATGGATGGAGATACTTGTAAATCAATCTCAAATATAGGAATATTAGTGATAACCCGTATTTAAAAGTCCGATACAATTCAAAAAATAGTCAAATATTAATTGTAGACTCCAAATAATTAATCACCAAAAAGGTAAAAGACATAACATATTTCCATTATTTCTGTTGCTTGACACACACCGTCAAAAGGTGTCGGTGAAAATTAAAAAATAAATAAATTATCCTTAAAGATATAATAAATTATAAAAAATTTAGTTAAAATATTTCCTATGAAACAACAGCAGCGGCAGAAGCAGCGATCCCCAATCCTTTATGTAAAGTTAAATATAAGGTGATACAAATAATTTATAATATAAAATACGATAAATTTTAATTAATTTATTCAACGATCTCAAACAGACTTATTAAACGGTCAACAACATCTTTTTCAAAATAATTCATATTGTACCGTGCCTTCAAACACGAGTTATTCCTAATACTTTTATAAAAATTTGAATATGTGATAGTTAATTAATAGAGTGAAAAGGTAATTACATAAGATATAAAATAAAATGTGATTGAGTGTGTAATTTAAATTTTTTAAAGAAAATTAAGGTACAAAATGTCATTTAACTCACAAGTTTATGTCATACGACGAAAATTGATAATTTCTCGAACCCTCCCAAAGGGAGAAAAAGAAGAAGAGACAAATAGTATTTTATACTTAGGAAGAATTAAGAATTTTTATTTTATAATATTACAATTATATTTTTTATATTATATTTTTAATGTATTAAAAATATTATAATATATTATTATCATTAGTTTTATTGCTCGTTTTATAAAAAATCATTCTATTAACATTGACAAAATAAGAAATATGTTGTAAAGTTTTTAATATGCGTCAGTATAATGTAAAAAATCAAATTTTAAAAAGTAAGAAGTAGAACTCTCAAATTGATACAAAGTGTGATTCCCAAAAAACGTATAGTTTTGACGTAAAACGGACTTTTCCAAGCCCAAAACACGTTTGTCAACTACACCGAACCTCTAAATCCGACAATAGGAGGACTTTAGTAATCCCATATATTATCCATAATATCCTTACAAATTCAGACAAAACCCATTCTCATCGTCAATTTCGAAGAACAGGGTACGACTTTTCTCAAGACTGAGTAGTCCACAGCTTCCAAAAACCCGATCAAAACCACCATTTTCAGGTACTTTGGGTTCTTGTTTTTCCAATTTTCATTTCTTTTGATCTTGTTTTAAGCATTGTTTACGGCTTGAAATTTCATTTACAGAGCTTCGGTTTTCTGGGTTCAATGCTAGTTATCCAATTATATGCTATCCCATCAATGCTTCGTTGATTTTGCCGTTGTTTAGCTTCTGGTTGTTGAGAAACTGGAGGAAAATGAGAAAGGGTAAAAGAATCGTTTCTTCCAATGTTCGTTAGTTTCGTTTGGTTCTTAGCAGCATTTACTTTTTGATTTTATCAACAACCAAACAGAACCCTTGAGAATGCCGTTTCTTTCGTACAAATTAATTAACCTTCCACCTTCTAAAGGATTCCAAGTATTCATTTTTTTCAATTCTATGGTTGGACACTAAGAAAAGTCAGGAAAAGAGAAGGAATTATCATATTCGAATTTGATTTTTTGATATTCCAGCAAATCCTTATAATGGATTGAGTGTATTATTACAAAAATAAAAGCAAGGAAAAGAGAAGGAATTATGTTATTTGATTATGATTTTTTGATTGTCTTACGAATCCTTTTACTGAACTGAGTTTATTAGGAAATAATTTGGCTTAACAGAGGTGACTCACTGTGTATGTATGTGTTTGTTAGGATAGAAATTGAAAACAATTGAACATCGCCAATTTTTTTTCCCCAAATCCTTTCTCAACGCATTCTTAGTACCTTTCTTAGAGCATATCCAATAAGGCTTTGTATTTTAACTATCCAAAAGTATATATTTTTTTATTTTAGCTATTCACTTTTTCAATACACACTCCAACAGATTTTCTATATTTTAACTACTTCTTTTAAATATAATTTCACATATTTTGTACCTTTATTGGGATTGTTGGAGGGAGAGAAAGAAAATGGAGGGAAAGACAGATAGTAGACTAGAGAGGTGGGAAAGGACAGGGGGAGAGCGAAAAAATTATGAAATATTTATACAATTGCTACAGTATTGCTCGACATTTAGAGTATCATTGTAACAAAAAGCTATTTTAGAGCATTTGAACATATTCGGTCGGAGCATGGTTTTTATCTTTGATTAGATAAATTTTAGCTATTTTGGAGTTTTAAATATTCCGTTGGAGATGCTCTTATATGTTCTTTCTTTTTTAATCCTAACTTTTCTGTCTATTTTGGTTTTTAGTTTACTTGCTCTTAATTAATGAAAAAAAAGAAAAAGAAAAAAGAGAGCTTGTTAATGCCTGCACTTTACTCTTCAAGGTTTCAGCTTTAATGTATAGAGGGAATGATATATGTGGTTGGTCAGGATATTTTGCTAGAAAAGTGATGGGAGACCACATGGTTTTGTGTGTTGATCAACTCATTACACCTGAATCACTGCAAGCAGCTAAGGCCTCCGTGTCTGCTGGAAAGATTTCTTGTAGTGACATTGCTGGTCCATCCACTTTGACCATCGATAGTGAGGAAGTGGGAGAAAAGGGTGCAGCTGGTGAAGAAGAACCACTGATTCAAACAGTGGAATGCCGCATATGCCAAGAGGAGGATAACATAAAAAACCTGGAGGTCCCTTGTGCTTGTAGTGGAAGTCTTAAGGTAGCTTTACGAAAAGGTTTTTTATATCATTGTTAAAGGTTTGCTGTAATATTGACATTATTGATTAATGTATGCTGAGGTGTAAGTAGCATATCGACATTTTTTTTAGCCTTTTACTTTTTAAAATTCAAATTTGTGATCCTTTTGGCATTAAATCCAGCTTGTCTGGACATGGGTAGATCATGCTGGTGTCTCTCCTTATTTTTATTCTGAATATTTTCAAAAGTCTCCTTTTTTGTGTATAATTTCTTGGTTTCCAACTAAAATTGTTTTATCCAGTTCGCCCATAGGAACTGTGTTCAGCGATGGTGCAATGAGAAAGGAGACATAACTTGTGAGATCTGTCATCAGGTATGCCACTGCTTCTTCCTTGATGAGAATTTATCGTTGTGTTGCATAAAACCTAATGCATGTTGGAAAAGCTAGCCATGGAGTCATGGGAATGTGCTGTTAATTTTTTTGGATTGTGGTTGCACATGTTTCACATTAAAATTGGCCTTCCTCAAAAATAAATTGACTTGGGTTGGTGTCTTTTAATATGTATGGATTAAAATATTTGTATGATCTCTCTCTCTCTCTCTCTCACACACACACACACATACATATATATATACACTCTCGAAATTGCCAGTGCTTGAAGGTGCTATGCAACCAAAAAAAAAAAGTAATTGCCCAAGTAGCGAAAGTTTCGCTCTAAACACGTTGCTCCTTGCTTGTAATTGACAACCCTGTTCAACCAAGTAATTGGAGTGAAGGTGAAGTTCAACTAATCACTCGTTGCAAAAACCCTCCTTTTTCACTACCTTCGTCCCCCGTGGCAACCCTCTCTCGCAGATCCTCCCCTTACAAAGACAGCCTTCTAATAGTTAAATAGAAGCGTCGAGATACAACAAAAATTATAAGAGTAAATATACAACATCTGTTAATCGATCAAACAAGCATATAATGCTGTATATCTGACAACACCCTTCCAAGATGAAGGCAGTACATATAGTACGTGGTCCTCATTTCATCTTTGTAATGTAAAGCTTCTTAATTAAAGAGCATTAATGAAGAGTCATAGCAACAACCGCCCAGCTGTTTAGAGTAGAAAACAACACCTCCCAGCTTTTTATTAACATGCATCTCCCATTTGTTTATATAAACATAACCTAAATAAATAAATCTAATTCCTTTATTTCTGTAGATGAAACAAATTAAATCCCTTTATTTCTGTTGGTGAAACAAATCAAATTCAAAGAATAACCGGAGACAATTTGAAAAATGGGCCACTTTCAACTGATCAAAGAACGAAAAGGGTGTAAGTATATGGTCTCTTTGGTGTTATAGCTATGACAAAGTGGCATTTACATGATTTCCAAGGCACCCAAACATATGATACAGAAGTTGAATCCTAGTATATCGATGATACTTCCCAGTGATCAATGAAATCAATAAAAAAATGAAAATTAAAGAGAAATTCACCTTATTTGAGGTGAGTGAATCAATCAAACCAAGAGTGGCCTTCAAGGAAGACAATATAGAATACTTTTTTTTTTTTTATAACAATCAATGAAATGGAGTAATAGTACCTATGCAGAGCCATAAAGAGGTTTAGTATTTGATTTCACCAACTAAAAATATGAGAATCCATGAATTTTGAAACCTTGATGATGAGGTTTAGTTTTTGATTTCTAGAAAATAATGAGATTGTTCTCATCTAATCCACAGAAACTCTTGCCTAGTTCTCGTTTACAACACTAAAATCTCAACACAACAGCATACAAAATGAAACACAAATCTATAAAACTTCAAAATGACTTATGGAAAAATACACTAAGGTATTGATTCTGTTCTTTGTTGTTTCATTGCCCAAATGAATCATTTAAAAAATCATATGGGCTATCAAGCACATTCAAAGTTATGAATCTCAATAGACCAAGTAAAGGTATATGCTCTAGGATAAATGGACTTTGAACCACTTCAACCACAAAAAGTGAGATGCACTCGCCACCAAAAATGCTCGTCCACACTCCACAAAGGGCATCAAGTGCAACTGCTGCCCATGACTCTTGACAACAAAAAATTATAAAGGAAATTTAAAAAAGAAGGAAAAAATAAATGGGAGCAATAGGCAAAAAACAACTCATGAACCATAGGCCGAGAAGTTTGTAACGGAGCAAAGACAAATTGAATTGTAGAAAATAAAACAGAGCTTGAAATATGGTCTATTGCATGGCCATTACGTATTAAAAGTTTGACGGACGAAGTTCAAGCATAAATTTGAAGAAATAGGAAGCTCAAATGCTCAAGCCTATTAATCCCAAACATGAAGTAATCCCACATCCACTAATTCCAATTCCCAAAAAGTTCAATTTGAATCATATTTCAACATAAAAAGAAAAAAAATCTATCATCCAATGGTTGAACAAATCAATTCAAAAACAGTTTGCCTTCAAATCAATGCATCCCAATTTTCATCCAATCACACCAATTTCAAAACAATTCACATCCAATTGTTCTCAAGGACAATAAAAATTCAACAGAAATTAAAAAAAAAAATACAAACAGATTTCAACAGCAAGTCAAGAAAATGTCATACTTGGGACTGGGGGATACCACTAAAATAACAATCAGCTAGCTAATTACATGAACTAAACATTCGAATAACCATGGGCAAAGCTTTTAAGTTCCTATTAAAGCTTCTACGTGTAGATTTAATCGTACTCAAATGTTACATGAAAGTAAATGAAGTAAAACAAAGGCTTGAAACCAATACCAAAAGTTATGTGGCAAAGGGCGGCATGATGCACCCACAACTACAATATGACGATAGAAGACATTTATCCACACTGAGATGGAGTAGGATAGAAAAAAAAATAAAATAACATAATTAAAAAAGGAAAAAGAAATCTAAGAGGGTAATGCAGCATGAGCATTTATGTCCAATACCTTCTCAACAATTATTTTGGATCATTTGTAGTTCAGACATTAGTGTACCAAACATGTGAAAAAGTAGTTATTTTGCAAAAAGACCTCAATATGCCAAACAATGCAGCATGCACAATTATTAAATTAAGGTTGGAAAAGTGGCATGCAAACAAATAAAATGCATCCAAACAAAATAGTGTAAATTGAACCAAATAAAAAATACCCGACTGAGTTGCATTTGGGGATACCATTTGATGTTTCTTGCTAATAGAACATCGTAAAGCTGAAAAATTGAAATTTTTAATATTTGAGGTAGTCTAACAAACACTTGGTGGAGGAGCAAAGAGGGATGGAGTGACCGCTAAAATTAACGGCATTGACGTGATGGTGTGGGGCCACAAAGGCATTGGCGTGATGGTTGGAGGCCACAGAGGGTGGTGGTGGCTTGGGGGTGGTTTGGGTTGGGATATGGTAACTTGGTGGTGAAGCAAAGAGGGGTGTGGGATATGGTGAGTCATTGTGTATGTGCGTGTGTTGACTGGGCACAGAGAGATGGTGTGTGTGTGTGTACTGGGATTTTTAGTTTAGGGTATTTGGGGATGGGGGTTTCTAGTTAGTGGATTTTATTGGCTGGGAGAGGGGGTTTTCTGGTTTTACGGTATGTGTGGATGGGGCTGGATATGGGTGGGTTGAGAGAGAGAGAGGGGGAGAGAGAAACATGGCGATTCTGTTGGTTGATGACGTCGTTGGTGAAACAGAGAGAGAGATAAAGGTTGTTGCTTGGGGAGAAGAGATAAAAAAACGGAGAGAGAAAGATTGTTGTTGGAATAGTAAAACAGAGAGAGAGAAGTGTGGGAGGTTAGGACATAGATGGGGGAGGGAGGAAAAAATTAAGGTATAGGTCTGTGTTTTAATTTGGAAAGTATATTTGGGAGAGGTAATGGGAAGATTTGAGGGAGACATTTGGGTGTAGAGATTGAGCTCGATTTGTAAAAAATAGAGTAATCATAGATTTGATTGATGATAATTCAAAATAGAATTTTTTGGGCAGGTGAAAATCTTCAGGACTCATTCTAGTTTGTCGGATCATTTAATTCTGAAATGATTTGATCCGTTTTTATGTTTAGCGTAATGTAGTGTGTCAGATGTTGCTGCCACTTTTTGTTTTTGGAATTCAAAAACAATTCTACTTTATTTTATATACGTATACGCGTGTGTGTGTGTTTTTTTTTTTTTTTTGGGGGGGGGGGGCGGACTCTGGAGGTTGGCAGTAAGAAGTGAATGTGAAAATCAGGTTCCTATGGTGGATGTGTATAGCATTGTGCTTGAACGGTCTTGGCCTATTTCCATATTCCCTTTGAGCCTGTGGAACATTAAATGCTATGAATAATTGACTTTGCTTAATCTGTGATTTTTTTTTGGAAGGAAGAGATTAATAAAATCATGAGAGACAGGAATGGAAAATGACTTAGATTCTTTAAGCTATCGTTATAAGGCTCTGTTTTGTCCTTTTATGTCTTTTCAAAGAGAAGAAAACAAATAACTATAGCAGCGTTTGATTTCCATGTTGCAGATGTCAATAAGTTTCTTTCTAGCAACTGCTAAGCTGTAGATGTATTAGCTATTTAATGATGGCTTAAAGTGCTTTAAATTTATATATCTCTTTTATTGCCACTGGGACATATATTTTTTGCTGCATCTATGTTTTGTTTGTGTGGATCGTATTGCTACTGATTGTTTTTCACTTGCTACATCTACGACTAACATACACAATTAACCCTTGCCAAAAGGACCAAAAACAATTTTCAATAAATGATTTTTTTTTCTGTGCAAATGAGTTCCTCTATCGCAAGGTATGTTTTGTAGGTGAGAATAATATATCGATAGAAACAATCACCTGGCATGTGTACACCCCTCCATATGACATATAAAGACTAGATTCCTGTGTTCATTGGCTGATAAAGTCCTTGGATCATTTGCCTTAGAATTGATTCAATTTTTTGCTTTGTGAATTGAAAAGATTGGATGTCTGTGTATTTTGACTGATAAATTCCTTTGCTCATTTGCTTTAGAATTAATTCCATTTTTTTCTTTGTGAATTGCATTTAATCAGTTACTATGCTGACTTCTTCAACGAATTTTTTTTGATGGACAGCCTTACCAACCTGGTTATACTGCTCCACCAACTCCCCCTCAATCCGAGGATATTACAATTGATATCAGGCATGTTTAAATTCTTTGTCCCTTTCTTTAATGATTTTTGATTGATTGTGCATTTACTAAGGGTGCAACTTGGGTTGGGCAACCCGAGCCCAACTCGAAAAAATTAGGGCTTGGGTAAGGGTTTTTAATACTTGGGTTGGGTTTGGGTCAAAAAATTCCAACCCGAATTCAATTTGAGTTGGGCTTGGGTTAAGGCCTCGTGAATCCGAGTTCAACCCGAACCCGACAAATTAAAAAAAAAGTTATATATATATATATATATATATATATTATATATTATATATATATATAAAGCATTAGTACCGATTTTTCATTTTTGTTCTATCGTTCTCTTTCTCTCTCGTTCTGTTTGCCTCTCTCGTTAAAAACTTGGTTAAAGTTATTGGTTGTTAATTTAGGTGAATATTAGATAATATATGTATTAGGTTTAGAACAACAAACCTATTTTGGGCTCTACCCGAATTGAACCCGTAAAGTAACCCGAAATCAACCCAAAATCATCAACCCGAACCCGCCCGAATTAAACTCGGGCAGTACTCGGGTTGAGGAACTCAACCCGAGGTAGGGTTAGGGTTAAAAATTATATACCTTGGGTTAGGCTAGGGTTGATTGTCTAACCCGTCCGAGTTGCACCCCTAGCATTTGCAGTGGATCTCTAGATTTAAATGATTTAGAATTTACAATTGACCTTTCTATGTGATAAGCAGAAATGGATAATATGTTAAAACTAGCAAAAAAACCATCTTAAGTGCAATCATAAAATTATAGCATCTAACTATGAACTGTTTTCTTTCAGGAAAACTGTATATTTTTATCATTCACAGCTTATGCAGCTGAATAGACTTATGTATACTTTGTTGACAAATTCAGAATTCTTGTTGAATGTACTAGGTTTTTTCTAATGATCTATACTGTATGTTTTGATCGAGTTTATGGAGCTTGTTGCAAGTATTGTTTTGATAAGAAACAAAACTATTGTTGATGAAATAAGTTACAAAGAGGTTGGATAAGGAATCCAATCCAAGGTACAAAGAGGAAAGCCCAGAAACTTGCAAATAAAACAAAAGGACAATTCTATTAGTCAATATGTTATTGTTCAGTACTGTAGGGTTTCTTTGTGTGAAGTTACTGGGTTTGATAAGTAGATGCAATTTTTATACGACACATCGGCACTCCAATTTATATATATTTTCCAAAATCCCTTTATTTTGCGGGATTGGACAATTCTTATCCATGTGATGTTCAGGTTATTTGTCTACATCTCATAGCTACTTTTGCACTATTGTTTATTGGAGCTAAGTACACCAAATGCTTGAACGAACTATATGTGTCAGAACCTGTACGTTGGTGGCCACGCCATAAAAACCATAATGATGTCTTATGCCCCAGCGACTTTGAGTTGGCCAGGAATTTTTTTTCTTTTGGAATTTTATCCTGTTGATGTCCATATCATCTTTTAGTTGATTTTAACTTACTACATGAGGAAAAAATCATCTGTTAATTGATCCATAACTTCATTTCTGTTCTCATAGATTTATGGCTTTTTATGTCTAATCAAATGACTTTGTCATTGCACATAAATTTGTTTTCATCAGAGTCCTTAAACCATTTCAGACAGCTTTGCTGCATCTTATCCTTAAGTGGGGCTACCATTTAACTTTTCAAGATTGCATTTGCCAATCAGTTCTGGTTTACTTGTAACATTTGTAATTCATCTACAATACCCTCTTGTTGACTACACCTCTTTTATACATGTTTGCTTGCAAACCTTTATTTGGTATCCTAATTATGTATCACCATCTTGTGGAAATTTCTCTCCAATAGTCCAATTTGTTTGCTTAACCTGCTAGATCCTTATTGCTCTGTCAATTATTCTGATCTTGACTCCATTGTTGTTTTTTTTTTTTGTCTCTTTTCTTGCTTCCACATAGTGCGGGTTGGACAATTGCTGGTACTCCTTTGGACTTCCATGACCCTCGACTTTTGGCTATGGCTGCCGCAGAACGCCGTATTCTTGAGGCTGAATATGGTGAATATGCTGATACAAGTGCCAGTGGAGCTGCATTTTGTCGTTCTGCTGCTCTAATTGTAAGCCATTGCTACTACCTCTTGCAGTTGGAAGAATAATACAGACCAGACACATGCATGAAGGATTGATACTTCCGATGGCTTGTGGCTAGTTTTATTATAATGGTGCAGTTTACTACTAATTTCTTCTTTATCAAATGCATTGGGAATGCATCCTTACACAATTCAATTGAGTTGGCATAGCTATGTGCCTCTGCCACCCCCTCTTTTCCCCTGCTCCCCCTTTTCCATGCCTAGGAAAGAAAATGTTAAATAAAATGTGGCTCTTTATCTGAGTATAGGATATAAAAGTTTACCATAGATCTTGATCACATCCTTTACATCTTCGTTACAAGTCTTTAATATAGATCTATCAGAAGATGAACTCTAAATACAGCTTTCTCACAGCGAAGTCTTTACAATTGGCTTGTTTTACGAAACTTCTGTTTACAAAACACTTGTTGCTTATTTAGGGAATTTTGATTAATTGGATCTTGTTTCTTTATTATTCCGTCTTTGTATACCTCCCTTTCGCCACACTTTAGTTGATGTGGCATTGGTGAGGTCGTGGTCCCTTTAAGTTTGGTGCTGGCTCCTTTGTGCTGAAAACAATGTTTAAGGGACATTGTACCTTTTATCTTTTGCTGTTTGTGAAATCTATATCATGTTTATCAGTCTCATCCCTTTTCTTTGATCTAGTTAATTACCCAGTTTCAAATTCCCTCACAATGGACTTGGGATTGAATCTCTCTGTTTCCCTGCAGTTAATGGCTCTTCTACTCTTGAGGCATGCTCTCACCATTGGAAATAGTGATGGGGACGAAGATGATAATCCTACCTTTTTCTCTGTACGTGGTTTCATTGTGTGCATCCTTACATATTTGGTATCTCCTATGTTGCACCTCATTATATGCCTGATGCTTGACAGCTTTTTTTGCTTCGGGCTGCTAGTTTTCTTGTCCCTCTATATGTAATGGCCTGGGCTATCAGTGTACTGCAACGTCGGAGACAGAGACAGGTTGGAGGTTTCTTTCATTGTTTCTATTCTCATTATCTACTCTTGGGGCTGCATTTCTTTCCTCCATCCAGTATTGAACATTTAGTTTCTTGAAGAAAGAGATTTCTGCTGAACTGATGGACATGTTGGGTGCGCAATAAATTTTTTATTGGTGAATCAGGTCTTTTGTTGCTAAGCAAACAAAGCAAAGATTAGGCCAATAATTAAGTTCCCCTTGATACAAGAAACCATATTCAGTACCATCTTTTATTTTACTTAATAATTCAGTTCTATTTTTGCTTATTTTTGTTGAATCAGGAAGCAGCGGCACTAGCAGCGGCTGAATTGGCATTTATGCTACAGTCGAGACAGCATAGGGGGTTACAGGTCACAATAGCACCTGGACCTGCTGTGACACCAGGGCCCGTGGTTACTTCACCGACATCAGCACCTGCAGTTACCCCATCGTCACCACAGCCTGTAGTTGCCCCTCATCAGGAGCCCCTTCAATAAAATGATATTTCCCTCTAGTGGGTAATCAATCATCTCCACAGGCGAGGTGGATAAGTTGTGGCTAGAAATTTGAGTGTGCTGCTATAGTTGCAGTATTAGCAAAGGGAAGAAAAATATGAAGGTCGACTTTGTTGAGTATCTCTTGCTTGACATTATCTCCAAAAACCTTAGTAAGTTTAAAAAAAAATTATCATGATTTATCTGTTTTTGTTTGTACACACTGCTGTGGCTGCTTGGGAAATTTGTGGTAACATAGTTGTTGTCTACATAGATTATCCCAGGTTATTTGGGATGTCTTTAAATTTGAGGTTCGAATGAAGAAAGTTCTTGATACTTATTTTTATGTTTGAATATATACTTTTACTTTTTTATCAATGCACTGCATATAAAGGTTGTTCAAAATAAATTGTGATGTTTCTTTATGATATATCTTGGCGGATATTGTTCCACGAATCAGAGGGGTTTTTTGTTTTTTGAAATTAGCTATTTGGTCCATGAATTAAACAATTTGTGCAAATCAAATTCTTGAATTATGTTTTGTGGCAATTTAGCCATTGAAGTATTCAATCTGATTCAATACGACCCTGTTATTCAATTTTTTTTGTTAACTTTGATGGAAATCTATACGTGCACATCATGTGACCTTTGAAAATATACCCTAATTCCCGATTCATGTAACGTGTACGTGAGAATTTTTGTCAAAATTAATAGCGAATTTGGTTGAAAAGGTTACATTAAATCAAATTACATAGCTCAAAGATTAAATTGATACAACACACGGTAGTAGGACCCTTGTGCACTCTAGCTTGTGGTCCTAGTGAAGATGACACACGACTATAATTGGACTTACATGACCTCTCTAAAAGTTTGAAAAGATTGACAACTTGGTTATTCAAGGCTTTAGATTAGTGTGTTAGATGCATGAGCTTTTTATCTAAAACTTTTCTATTGTGAATGTAATATGCACTATAATGACCATGCTCACTACAAGTAAACACACACTGATGACTTGGTTTGAGTTTTCTTTTTAATCCGCTTCTTTTTTCATTTATACGTACAATGATTACATCATTCCTTGAATGAGTGAGTTTCATCAATTTTTTTATTGGAGCCCACACATCTTATACTCATCCAAGAAATAATACGAATTTAGGTTTTAGCTTCTATCAAAATGGGATGGATATGGATTTCAGCAAATTTGGGACCGCAATGGGTGATTAATTAATTTTGACTCCGTACTAACCTGACATCACATGATCTATTGATAGCTTGGATTTGAATTGTGTTTCTGCCTTTCCCACCTCCATCCCTCTCGTGACAGGCGTTAATTTTTGGGTTTTTTGGCTTGGGTATAATTTTTTAGACTTTTTTTTAAGAAAAATGTATGGATAAATTGTTTACTCTATTAATTTTAATTTTAATTTTAATAAAATATATTGTGTTTAGGTATAATTTTAATAAAATATATTGTGTTTAGGTATAAAATTCAAATGAAATTAATTTTTTTTTACCTAAATACCCTATCTTAAATTATGCATTTTTGATTGCCAGTTATATATCTAATTATCTAATTAAATATGTAAAGATTTCATTAGACTCTCTCACTATCTCTCCCCTATTTTCTCTTCATCTCTCTCTCCCCCTTTTACTTTCCCCATCTCTTCTTTATTTTCTCTCTCTATCTATCATTAATAATTTTTTTTTTTTTTGCAAATATGTAAATATTTGATTTATTTTTTCATCTCTCACTCCCCCCTATTTTCTCTAACCGTTTCTCTTTATCCTTATTTTATCTATCTTTCTATCTATTTATATCAATATTATAACAATATAATTATACTAATCACTTACATCAATCAGTTACAATTGTTTTATAATATACCAAATAGTTATTCATACGTTCTAAAAAATTAAATAGTTAAACCTAACAATTACACAAAATTATAACACCAACCTAATTTGTCATTTAGTTTTTTACACAAACTAAATAGTTGCACCATTTAATATCGCGAAATGATTATACCAATTATATATACCAAATTTAGTATAATGGTAAAGTCTTTTGTGTAATGATAAATCCAATTAGTGTATATAATTAGTGATATTAAATGATATAGCTCTTTGATTTATGTAAATAACTGAATGACAAATTGTGTTGGTGCTGTAATTTCGTATAATTGTTTAGTGTTACTATTTGGTTTATTAGAATACATGAGTAACTGTTTAGTGTATTATAGGGTAATTGTAATTAATTGGTATAACCGAATAGTGTAATTGTATTGTTATGATGTTGATAAAGGAGAGAGAGAGAATAAAGAACTAAGGGGAGAAAGAGTGAGAAAGAAAAAAATAGTGGAGAGAGAGATGAAGAAATTAAATTAAATCATTACATATTTAAAATATTAAATCATCAATGTGAAAGAAAGAGAGAGAGAAATAGATAGATAGAAAGTAGGGAAGAGAGAGAATAATATAGTAATAAATAGTCCTTTTAGTCTTTTTTTTTGAAAAAAATGCACTTAGGACCAACTAAGTTTTCACAATGTAATTTAATTCAAATAAGTCTAAATTTTTGTATCGTCTCCCAAATTTCCTTTAAATTTTCACAACCATGATTTGAATCCACAAAAAATTTAACATACACGTTACTAGGAGTCGAATTGAATATAAAGTTAGCGGGTTTTGTTTAAGGCCACTTGAATTCTTAACATAAAAAGAATTGACCCAATTAAAGAGTTTATTTAAACTAGTGATGTTTAGATTTTATTGTCAAGTTATTTGACATGTATGAGATATGAACTAGACTGCGATTCGTGACACATTACAATGCTGTCATGTTGCACATTCATGTAAAAATACGAGCACGTGTCAAATAATGCATGCCACTTAAACTTTTTTTTTTATTTTTTATAAATTGATGCAATAAGGGGTAATGCTTGGACTAGCAAACAGAGTCCCAATCCGAATGATTTTATAGAATTAACAATTATATATGGATGAGTTTGTGCATGCCCTTGTATTATGTGAAACTTAAATCCCTTACTTTTGGGGCAGTATGTTTTGGGATAAGAGTGGTAGAATGACGTGGGAATAGGGAAGTAGTACGTGAGATCTACCTTATATCTTGTTTGTTTAGTAATGTACTGTCAGTATTATATTTTGGATTGTAATATTGACCCGGTATGATCGATGTTCTAAATGCCTTCTACGTGGTATTAATGAATATCACCTACTCAGGTGGTATTATCTTCTCGGTACAAATGAAAGAACGGTATAAGAGAATAAAATAACACAAATACCCTCATATATTAAGAGTTCACATATAAAAAATTTATTTTGAATTTTTTCTTTATATTATGTTTAAGTGTACAATGTCACCGGTTTTTTTTTTAAATTATTTTGAATTTTTTTCTTGTATTATGTTTAAGCGTACAGTGTCACTAATTTTTTTTTTTTAAATTTAAAAATAAATTATTTTTGATTTTTTCTTTGTATTATGTTTAAGCATACGATGCTAACGGTTTTTTTTTTTTTTTTTTTAAATTTTTTTTTAAAAAATTATTTTAATTTTTTTCTTTTTATTATGTTTAAGCGTATCGTGTCACCGAAATTTTTTTAATTTTTTTTTTACAAATTATTTTGAATGGAATAGATGATGTTAAGGATAAAATAATATATTTGTTATATAAGATGTGCTAGAATAGATAATTGTTTGTGAGCCATATTATAATACTTATTAAACAAACAAACAAAGGGAAGGATGAGATAAAGGTTTAAGAACGAAAACAGTATCCCATTAGATAAGAGTGAAATGAATATCATTTTCAATACCACCTAAATCTAATACTTCAAACAATCATGCCCTTGAAGTTTAAATTTGATGACTAAGGATGTTTATTCAAAGCAGCATTTCATTTGTTTCTATTAACTTTATTACAGTTCTATTAACATTTTTAAGGGTATTTGATTTTGATCAACCCCAGTCTATCTTCTCCCTTGTTAGAACAATAAAACATCTCTCTCTGTCTCTGTATGTGAATGAATAAGGTTACGGTGTCGTGTCAAAATTGATCCATAATCTGTGATTTTGGTTTGAAAATTTTGAAACCAGTGATTGAAAAAATGATAAAGTAATAAAAAATCATAATTTAAGAAAACTTTATACATGACACATATTTATTGGATAAAAATAGAGTATGGTACTGAAAAATGATATTTCGGTATTCCAGTACCGAAGTGAGATATATATCACAAAGTAGATCAATTGTTAGGAAATTATATTAGCTTGTAAATTGGTATAACAATAAGATTTCCAAAAACCAAAAAAGAAAGGAAAAGTAAAGAAGATCTGCATAGATAAGTGAGTCAAAATAAAGAAGGGATTTGGGGAAGAGACGGGAACATGATAAGGGCAAATATGGGGAAAACAGTTGGTTTCTCAGTTGGACCTTTGAATGGAATGCTTGGGGCTGCACAATCTAAAGATTGGAGTAAACAAAAAAAAAAAAGGCATAAAGGAAATCCATTAAGCACAAGAAACCAAGACTCTGATTTTTGTGACATGGATAGAAGTGCTTGGAATTCTAAAGTGATTTGGCACAAAGCATATGCTTGGTTTGTTACAGAGGTTTATATTCCTCACTGTCCCAACATCTCCACTTTATCTAGCTTTCTTGCAACTGTAGCAATCTCATATTTGGCTGGCGCATGGCTTGATTCTAGCAACTTAGCCACTCCATTATTTATGTTGAAAAGGAAAAGGGCAGTACATCTGGTGTACGAAACTCTAATCATGGTGGGGTTTAGGAAGTGAAGATCCGTTGTATGTGATCTTAGTTTCATGTACAAAAAGATTATTTTGTGATTCAAACCTGTGATGATAATATAGAAAAAAAAAGGCAGTCCGTCCAATCCACGATATTCTCACCATTTAGAGACTAAGGAGGGAGGGTTAGGTGTACGAAATCCTACCTTTACATATAGAGAGAGTTTTTGTGACTCGATCTATGGTGGCAAATTGTTAGTAATACTTTTTTGGTTGTGCATTGATTTCCATTTCTTAGCTCAGACCTTTATGCTCTTGAATTTCCTTCTAACTTCGTTATCTTGGCAAAGAAGCATGTACAAAGGTGAATTTAGTTGCATATAGAATCATGTATGCACTTTTTCATTTTCCAGTGTTTCCCTCTTGTTTGGTGATCTCCTTCCTGCAACAGTAAGTTAGTTACTTCATATAGTCCAACAAACAAGCAAGTTAGGCCCACCTTATAGTATTATTTACTGGAGCTATTTTGTTTTAGCCAAGCCAACATGCTTGTTTAGAACATTCAAACAAGGTGCTAGATCTCTAAGCATTATGGGATGAAGATGTGGGTCAGGGTCAAGGTCAGCTATGAGTCCAAGAGACCAGTTTGGTCCAAAAGAACAAGGCAAATGATAGAGATGAACGGAACCATTGAAAAGATTCTTGGCTTCCCTAGAATGGTGTTCCAAACTAACTTTTATTCAAACCTGTCAGAGTCTTCTAAAACAGCCTTATATTGCTTCTATAGCAGTCTTATGATTGAGATGAATCCAAAACTTCTCTGGATTTTTTGGGCCCCTCTTGTGCTTTATGCCTTTAGTTTTCCAAATCCCATAAAAGGGGAACTTCAGGCTTATATGTATATGCCTGAGCCACAAGAAATAGAGACAGCAGTTCCAGAAAAAGAACTTATTCTCTTGTCATTACCTTCAACTAGAGATACCTGTATTCCCCATGCCTTGGGTTTAAATCAGAGATCATCCGTTCGGGTTCATTTTTTCTCTTATTTACTTCATCTCTTGCTTAGTTCGTTCCATTTACTGCAGCATAGTATTTGAAGAGTCATGTTTCCTGCTCGAAGGGTAGTCATCCTTCTTTTTTGTATTGCGTTTTTATCTGTTCAACCAGAGAAAATTTCTGGCCTGAGAAGCATAGATCTTGCTCTCAGATGGGGAGAACGGCAATCACAATTTCTAAGAGGTTCTCGTTTACTGAAGGCTGTTGCTGTAGGTGACCTGAACACACAGTTAAATATAGCACCCACGCCTTCAACAATGTTCGATCCAAATCAATCAGACAAAAGGAGAGTTGGAAGAGGATCAGACCCCATTCACAACAGATGCTGATAAGCAATAGTATTTTTCTGTTTCAAAGCCACAATAGCGAAATGTACCGGAGTAAAGGAAGAACAAGCATTTTGCTGTCATTCAGAAGGGAGGAACTTGAGGTGGAGATCAATTTCTGCTTCCTCAGAAGTTTTTCAATATAGGTTTGGGTTGCTTTCTATGGTTATGTTTGAGTTGGAGCCTTTTATTTAGAGCAGAGATGAAGAACCATGCAAGAGATAGGACCACCTTTATCTTGTATAAGCTTAGTTTCCAACCAATAGCTAAATGCTTTAGGATTATTATGCATTTTCTCATACACAAGATATAGTGCCTTTTCATTTTTTCTCCATCAAAAAACAAATGATATATTTCAGTATCGATAGTTCTTTTTTTTGCACAACACAATGAAACATGGGGATTTCTTCCAGTTTTCATCCCCTCCTATACACTTCTCAATGTCATGACAAGTTCATGGTTACATTCCTGCTGGTGAAGACTAGAGAAAATAATAAGCGAAACTACCGATTCATAGAAAGGGCTGAATTTGTAATAGTGCACATAGAACTGCACCATAAATCAAAATTATAATTATAAGAGATTTGCAAAGAAGTTTTTTGTGTGTAAACAATTTGATCTTCCAAGTGTGTCCATAATATCAATGGTTCGTAACTGTAAGCTGAGATCTACGGTACCTGTTCTTCCTGTGACCTTGGAATGGTACTGAAGATATCTTACGCAAAACTGCCTTCCAGATCATATCCACAGCATCCCCAGGCCGAGATGGATACTGATACTCAAAGTGGTGTGCAATCTCCTTTAGTCTTGTCGACATCTTGGTCCACCTATTTTGCTCGATTCCCCTAAGAAGATTCAGAATGTACCCCTTTTTTACAGCATCAGATGCACGGATAAATATGCAGAACTCTGAGTAGTCCAAAACATCTTCAAATGGTAGCTCAATTTCATCACTAATTATTACGGGGACACACTGACTAGCGATGGCATCAAAGAGGCGATTTGAGGAAGGGGTATCCCCGGCAATATTAAAGCAGAATTTGGCTGAGGCCATCCCTTGCCCTGCCCCGTTGACCCCCCCATTTGCTTTAATGCTTCCAAATGCAAAGTGCACATCTTTCTCATCTTTGAGAAGGTAATATAGTTCTTGACGAATTGCTCCACCCTGAAGAGACACCGAAACACAGTACTATGATTAGTTGACAAATGCCTGTCATGTTAAATTCAAGACAAATTTCTTCTAAAACTTTGCATGATATGATTTAGAAGTTTTTTCCCAGGGAATTTGACAGATTTGGGGCTGGGGAATGGGGAAGAAGCACTGAAAAAACTTGGATAGTCAAAACATTTTAAAGGTAACGGCAACAGGAAAGGGCAAAGGAAACCTAGTGTCGAAGTGCAATTCAAAATAAAAAAACCAAGTGGAAGTGAAATAATAGCATGTAGTATTCTTTTAATTTTGACTTGGTAATACATATGAACACACATGTACATGTACAACTTTTTGTGTTCAACTAGCTTTGTTTTTTTTTTCGGAAAGTAATTTGTTTTTTAATACCCTATGTAAGCAAAAAAAATTTTTGTTTAAATAAAGACCACTCTTTAGAATAATAAATTTTGGACCTCGAAAACTTTGGAAACAAAATGGAATTTTTAAGTCCTTGTGGCATCTGAATGTCTAATAGATTACCGAAGCAAATATATTTCATTTACATGTTCTATTAATTGAGCCTCAGAATGGGATGACTGGTTTATATTTAATTACTTCAAAGTGTATTCCGGAACAAATACTTAAGTAGGTCATCAGAAAATCCTTCCAAACCAATAATCGAGCCAACACCATTTGTTACAGGAAGAATAGAGTTGATAAGAAATAACATTATTTCACAAGATCGACACGTGTCAATTGAATCTAACATCATCGCGCTGAAGAGGAAGATGCCTTAATTTATGGACTTGCATAGGAAAAAAGCCCCCCTCCGCCGATCCTTACATGCAGGAAAAAACCTTTTATACAGGTGCTTCAGCACACAGTTTTAGTTTCAGTCAGAACAACCATTGCAGGTTGGTACCTGTTCTCTTTTTCAATTACTATTATTTAATGAATAAAAGTTCACTTGAAAGTTGAATCTAGAAAATTAAATCCTTGGTTTTCTGAGACGAACAGCATCTAGTATATTGCATTTGTTCCAACAATAGAACAAAATGATGTGAGCCGCTTGAAGTCTTTTTTATTACTTAATGGTGCTTAATCAATCTCATGAAGAGGACAAGGACTTCCAAAGTTTATTCTTCACAGAAATTAGTCTTTAACACAGTAGCCACATCACATCATGCAGAAAAATTCCTATAAACCTATAATGGAAGGCAAAAGAGGTAATAAAACTTACGTCTTTCCTATAAATTGCTCCTTGGAAATACACCAATATGGGGCGCTCTTCAAAGGTGGCTGAGTTGTTAGCTGGAATGGTCTTAACCATATGACGGTAAGGTGCAATCACATCCTTTTCAAGGTTTGCTATTTCAACAGGGTATCTTCCAAAATCTGCAAGCACAAACATAGCAGAACCCAGCTTCCTCCTTGCAACCAACATGCTATTTGGATGGTGGGCAACAATCAGATGATTCTTCCCACTCAATCGCTTCCATTCATTCCGACCCTTCAAAAACTCCACCAATTTAACCTGCAGCATTCTATTGACACTAATTTTCTCCTTTCCTTGAAGCTTAGAATACCTGTTGTAACTCAGAGATGAGAAAAATGGCACAAAGATTATATCTGCTTGATTTGGATTCTGAACTCGAATTGCAGTGCATGCTCTCATTACATTCGGAGCATTTGAAGATAAAAGATCAAGGGTGAGCCAGTACTCAATACTGTGCTGTAAATTTAGACCACCTGGGTATCGAGGTATTTGACTTGGGTTACTGACATTAGGCCATATCTGATTCATACTTCCCCTCCAACCCAATAACCCAAAGTGAAATTTGGGAGGCAAATCATACATATATACCCTAAGAAGGGCCTGATTTGGGTCACAGGCCATCGTTCTATCTTGTTCCGAGGCATTGAGTCTGTTGCCAGAATCGGAAATTTGGCAAGCCAACTCTTGCCTTCCCTTGGGAAGTTCAGGTACATGGTGAGAAGGGGGGGAAACTGGCTTAAGTTCCTCACTTCCGTCATGGGGATTGAAGCAAGTTGATGAGCTATTAACAAGAATTAACTTAAAAACTGATAAATTCTTGCTGAATTGAAGGAGGAAATATGAAGAAAGGATCAAAAGAAACATTGACATGACTATTAGGCAAGAGTGTAACTTTGAGGGTTGCATGCTCTTTTCCGACATATAAGACATTTTAAGAAACTAAATCTATAAGCCGTCTCTTAAGAAAGAAGGGTAATTAATGTTTTTCTTAAAATGACCAAAGGCTATGGATTCTACATACCAAGCTTGATTCTTGATTCATCAATTTCAGTAAATAACCATTAACAGACTAATCGCCACAATTCGAATAAAACAATCCCTGTCAAGATTGAAAGCAAAACCTAGTTTTTGTCCTTAAACCCTAAAAGGTTTTGAATTGGTTTGAAGGAGATAACTTCACAACATGTTTCACAAATATCAACTGCCTCTAACACCCTCTATCCATCAAACTTCCCAGTTCCAGAAAGCTACACATAGAGCTGAGATTTTGTACAGTTGATAAACGAAAAGCTCTTGTTCTTAGATTCAAGGTCAGAGGGTGATAATCAACCTGCGAACCAAAAGGAAAGAAAGCACAATATAAGAATTTTTCACCTATTAAAGCCATTCTTTTCTTGTATATAAGGTCCACGAGCTGGTGAACTTGAAAACCAAAATGAGAATGCCACAGTTCAAATTTCATCATCTGGGGTATAAAGATTTATGATTTTCTTGAAAGGGCCAATAAGAACTTTCAAAAAGGGTACTTTATTATATTTTGTGAAAAATTTACCAAGAAATAGGGGAGAAAATGGCAAATCCAAACATGAGAATGTCACAATTCAAAATGCATCATCTGGGTTATCAAGAAGATTTGTGATTTTATCAAAAGGGTCTAAAAACTTGCAAAAACAATACCTGATCAACTTGAGTTCTTGATTTCTTGGTGTTCTACCCACGACAGAGTTTAAAGCATCTGTGGAGCTATTCTGATACTAGGAGTCTCTGATTCTGGCTTCTAAACAGAAAATAACACTTCAGTGTCGCCGAGTTTTTTTAATGGCAATTAATAATCAATATAATTGCTTATAAACCACTAAAAATCCTTTCTTTTCGGCTGTCGAGACTCTGGAGTGTGGACAACAAGAGAGAGTAGATTCAGGTGACTTTTCTCGTGTCCAATGGCATGTGTCTTTTGCAGGAAAGTTTTTAAAGGAAAAAGAGACAAGGCAGGCACTATTTTTCCGGGGAAAAGTTTTCCCTGTGTCAATACGACACCATGATTGTGAGTCTCTACCTAGTTGTTGATCAACAAAACTAATCTGAACTGCCCAATATGTGGACTTGGGGGTTGGTGGGCCATGTAGGGACTTTGACTTGGGAAAAAAAGAGAGGTTATTTTTAGGGTTTTTTGCACTTTATACCCTAAAAAATTTCAAGATTTTTACTTTGAATCTTCAAAGATTAATTTTTTTATATTACACCCTCAAAATATCAAATTATTGTAACGTGACATTTAAAATTTTAACACGGCACAGGGGATAGGTTCAACTAATCATATGTAATAACTTGTTTGGTGGTTGGTTCACGAAGGTGGTGAGCATGACATGTCCAAAGTGTGGACTTTAGAGGAAGGAATTTCTTATGAAGAGTATCAATCACTCACTTCTATTTTTCATTGTATCTTATTGGAACCATGACGTTTGCAAAATGGATATACTCTGTTATTCAAGGCAGTTCGATATAAATAGGGCTTCTAGACGANGGTTTGAAGGAGATAACTTCACAACATGTTTCACAAATATCAACTGCCTCTAACACCCTCTATCCATCAAACTTCCCAGTTCCAGAAAGCTACACATAGAGCTGAGATTTTGTACAGTTGATAAACGAAAAGCTCTTGTTCTTAGATTCAAGGTCAGAGGGTGATAATCAACCTGCGAACCAAAAGGAAAGAAAGCACAATATAAGAATTTTTCACCTATTAAAGCCATTCTTTTCTTGTATATAAGGTCCACGAGCTGGTGAACTTGAAAACCAAAATGAGAATGCCACAGTTCAAATTTCATCATCTGGGGTATAAAGATTTATGATTTTCTTGAAAGGGCCAATAAGAACTTTCAAAAAGGGTACTTTATTATATTTTGTGAAAAATTTACCAAGAAATAGGGGAGAAAATGGCAAATCCAAACATGAGAATGTCACAATTCAAAATGCATCATCTGGGTTATCAAGAAGATTTGTGATTTTATCAAAAGGGTCTAAAAACTTGCAAAAACAATACCTGATCAACTTGAGTTCTTGATTTCTTGGTGTTCTACCCACGACAGAGTTTAAAGCATCTGTGGAGCTATTCTGATACTAGGAGTCTCTGATTCTGGCTTCTAAACAGAAAATAACACTTCAGTGTCGCCGAGTTTTTTTAATGGCAATTAATAATCAATATAATTGCTTATAAACCACTAAAAATCCTTTCTTTTCGGCTGTCGAGACTCTGGAGTGTGGACAACAAGAGAGAGTAGATTCAGGTGACTTTTCTCGTGTCCAATGGCATGTGTCTTTTGCAGGAAAGTTTTTAAAGGAAAAAGAGACAAGGCAGGCACTATTTTTCCGGGGAAAAGTTTTCCCTGTGTCAATACGACACCATGATTGTGAGTCTCTACCTAGTTGTTGATCAACAAAACTAATCTGAACTGCCCAATATGTGGACTTGGGGGTTGGTGGGCCATGTAGGGACTTTGACTTGGGAAAAAAAGAGAGGTTATTTTTAGGGTTTTTTGCACTTTATACCCTAAAAAATTTCAAGATTTTTACTTTGAATCTTCAAAGATTAATTTTTTTATATTACACCCTCAAAATATCAAATTATTGTAACGTGACATTTAAAATTTTAACACGGCACAGGGGATAGGTTCAACTAATCATATGTAATAACTTGTTTGGTGGTTGGTTCACGAAGGTGGTGAGCATGACATGTCCAAAGTGTGGACTTTAGAGGAAGGAATTTCTTATGAAGAGTATCAATCACTCACTTCTATTTTTCATTGTATCTTATTGGAACCATGACGTTTGCAAAATGGATATACTCTGTTATTCAAGGCAGTTCGATATAAATAGGGCTTCTAGACGAAAGTATTATATGAGATCACAATATTTTATAGTTCAATAATATAGATATAAATATATAATTATTAAAACTTTATATATATTAATTTGGAATTTTTTTTTATTTTGAGATATAAAATATTAATTCAATTTTTTCATTTAAGTTTTATGTATAAAAAGTTCATTAATTGAATTTAATTTGAAGACCAAAATATAAGTAGGTCTACTATCAATTAAAAATATAAAAAACGAACTGAAATTTATTGGTGCAACATAAATAAATTGGTTCTTTGAAAAAACGAATGTCAATAGGAATTTCAAATAGTAAGTTACTCTTACGCATTACGTTTTTCAGTTATTTTGTGTGTGCTTCTTGTGTGTTCAAAAAAAAATTAAGTAAAAATTATAATTCGGATAACAAGAGTCTTGAATTGAGTTTAGGAAAAATCAACAACTTTTTAAAAATTACATATTTTATAATGACGAAAAAAAATAATATAAGGGCAATCATTCAATCCTATCGTAATCGAATTTATTCAACACATATTCGTCCCATTTTTAATCTTTTATAGTTGGGTTTGTACTATATATAAGTTTTGTTTAGTAGGTTTGTGTCGTGTTTAACATAATTTGGGTTAACCCATTTATTAAGGGATCTATTAAGGGGTTGTTTGATAATATCAATTAAAAATGAATACTTTAAATATTTAATGAATTAAACTAGTCTGATAATTTAAAACTCAAATCACTTAATATTTTAAGCATTTCTTAAAAATAGAGTAAAATTTTAAATAACAAGTCACATATTTATCACTTAATACTGAAAATATTAGTTAGTAAGAATTTTATCAAAAATTTTCATAATGGACAAATACACTATTGACACATTTTACCCTCTTAACTTTTCAATACCCATTACCCACCCCACCACCACCATTTATGTCGCTACCACTATCACCAACACACATTGTGCTGCCGCTATTATCACCACCATTTTGTTGTCTCTATCACCATTATCATTGTGCCATCGTCATCACCACCACCACCATTGTGCTGCTATTACCATTACTACTATTGTGCCACCGTCATCACCATTATCACCACTATCGCCACCATTACCATCATTGCATCGTCGCCAACACCATTACTATTGTGCCACCGTCACCACTATTGCCACAACCACCACCATCATTGCTGTTACCACTATTGTATCGCTTCCATTGCCACCACTATCGATATCATCACCTTCGGCACCATTTGTGATAGTAATGATAGGAATAAGGTAGTTAAGAAGAGTTGGTCAAAAAGAAGGACAAAATTAAAATAATAATAATTTTTTGATTTCAGCTCCTTATATTTGTCAAATAATTTGATTTAATTCAATACTTAAATTTCAGTTAATATACCAAATAACATGTGAATTAAAAACTCAGTATTCAGTGTTCAACTTTCAATTTTATCAAACATCACATAAATTTATTCATTTATTTGTTAAATCTATTAAAAGTTACACTCAAACTCATTAATTGTGTATCAATTTCGTATAGGCTAACTAAATCATGCCAAAAATTGTCTAGTCTTGGTTAAAATTGAGGGTCTAATTTTTTTTAAGGGATTCAAAAAAACAAAAAAATAGGGGCCCCAAAATTTTCTATCCATTTAATTATCTGCAAAGAGTTAGTGAATTATTCTTCAAGATAAAGTCAAATTTGAATTGAATCCAAATCTAGTTCAACTTTCTATATTTTGAGATTCAAATTTGAGTTGAACTCGAGTTTTATCTTGGCTTGTGTAGGCTCAACATTAATTTGAATTGAACCAATTTTAATCCGATCTCTATAAATTTAGTTCAAAATTAGGAACATAGGTAATATTCGAATTGAAAGATTTGGTCCACCCCTAGTTGAGATAGTTTTTGGGAAAAAGGGTAGGATCTTGTCCAAAAGGCCCGATATTATTCTTGGCCTAGCTTGATCAAAGGGTTCATTGTCCATGGGTTATTTGACTCACCCAATTCAAGCACAGTAGCCTCCTAGGTTGTATTGTACCGTTGCATTATAGTTTGTACGTTGGGCTAACCCTAAGGCCTACAACAATTGGTCCATTTTATTTTATGGGAAAATAAGGGGTCGGTACACAATATTAAAAATATTAGACAAAAGTACACATTTTAAAAATATTTGTAAAAAAAATTTATCCTTGTAGCTAAAGTCCAAAATACCCTTATTTAAAGTTGAAGAGATTTTTCATCCATATAAGGAAATTGGTGAGTTTTCACACGCTTCCACCATAAGGCCTGGAGATCGCATGATTTGAAGAGAAAATTTGAAATTCAAATGGTATGCAATATCAACAATTATTGGGCGGATCCTTTCAAGGTAGTTAGGAACGCTCTGCACATGATTTCATTAAGGACATTGTGCAGCTGTATTAGAGTTTTGTAAATTTTGAGGTGGTCTAGTGGATCTTTCGTTCTGTCAAAGGTCTCCACAGATGACATTTTAAACTTTTGAGGGAGGGGATAGTTCACCATATCAGGTTTGAAAGGTGTGTCAGTTCGCTTGACAAGGTAGTCCACTGTCTCAACTCCTTGCACCTTCATGGCGTTGAAGATATCACCTAGTTGATTTTACACATTTTTTATTTTTTTGTCCTAGTGGTTGAGAGCTCCTTTGGAATTATCATGGAAATGTCTCCCAGGTTCCATATTTTGGTTTTCATCCTCATCCTCTCGAAAACGAGGGTCTCCACCATGAGAAACAGGAGTTGGAGGAGGAGGTGGATGTCCTTCATTATGGGCTCCCCTGTGTGGGGCGCCTAAGGGGACTCCCAAAGGTGAGGCATCCAAAGGAACTCCAAAGGGAATGCCTAGATGAGGAGCACCTAAGTGTGGAGCTCTTTGATGTCTAGGGCGTGGAGCTCCTCTGACTTGAGGTCCTTTAGCTTGTGTTTCTCCTTGTCCAATGAGCATGAGCTGTGGGATCTATTGATTTTGGGCCACAAGTTGCTACATAGTCTCCAACATCTGCTGTGTATTTAGGACAAAAGCATTTGACATAGAATTGGTTGGTGGAGGAGTAACCTCCTCCTCTCGTGGTGGATAATCCTCAGGTTGATTCATCGATCTAGTGGTGATCCCTATAGATTCAACAAAAGAAAGTATTTAGAAATGAGAATTTTGTATTTCTTACAGACGACGCTAAACTGATGATGCACAAAATAATTTTGCACATCATCTGTCAAATATGGGTAATAAATGTAATAATTAAAGTAGAGAGAAGACGAAAATTATATTTGTTCGATTAATGTGACCCACGTCCACTTTTGAATGGCTAGGGTCACCGGGTATTTTATTAGCTCAAGTATGCAGGAGAAGTTGAGAGGGAGAGGAGAGAGTCGTACTCAATAAAGTGTGATCTGCGCCCAAGTGTTGGTGAGATTTATAATTTATAGTCGCCTCATAACAGATTGGGACAACTTAATAGAAACTAAATAACTATTTTGGTAGAGTTGACGACTTCTTCTCAATGGGCGAGGCGGTTGAGGTGCTCTCCATGAGACTCGCTCAAAGGATGAGGTGAGGGTTGAATTCTTCCAAGACGATTTGAATTAGGCTCTTGGATGACCCTTACTTCAAGGTGACTAGAAGAAGGCTCTTGGATGATCTTTGCATGCTCCTTGCTGATGTAGTTTCTTGAGTTTGATTGAGTTGACCACATTGAGTTGCACTTGCTGGATCTGTTGAAGATGAGTTTTTAGTTCAGACCAGACTTATAACATGAGTTGGACCCTTAGGCTTGGCCCATCAGAACTGTTTGCACTCTTTTGGGAAGAGTAGGTGTTGTGCTAGGTTTAAATGCACTGACTTTTTGGTTTTGATAAAACTTGAGCACTTAATGATGATTTTGAATTTTTGTTGGGTTTGGTAACATAGTATCTTTAATCGAGGATTATTTTAGTTATATTTTTATAATTTTAAAGATTTTATAACACATCGTCTATGTACAGTGCCTTCAAACACGTGATATAGAACGAATTTAGGCTTTCAGTTTTGTATGTGTTGGAATTCGGTGCTTGATTATTTCGCGTTCAAATTCAATGTTTGATTTTTTTTAATTTTTGATTTTTTTTAATTGCAATGTGTCTTCAAATACGGATTATCCCTAGTATATGTATAACCTAACAGGGTACCTAGGAAAAAAAAAAAAAGAGTTACAATCCCGCTGACCAAGTTTTGGGACATGTTAGATAGCTGCAGTTATTTTTGTGAACAAAATGTTAGATCTCGCTCCTCTATGGTCGCTTCTTTCAATTTGAACTTTCCATAACATTGAAATGCCAAAAACCTAATAAGCTATTGTAGTTATAAGCTCATAAGCTATATTCTATAATACGCATCTCATGACATTTAATATGTCAGTTTTCCAACTTCATAGAATAACACATAAATACTACTTAGTACAAACCATATTTCTTTTTTGAAATTTCTTAAATCAATGGCAAAATATAGACGAGGGGGTTTTGCAGGTAAGCAAAAGTTTAACAAGATTAAAGGGGCTGGTTAGCAAAACGTGGGATGATAACACTCTATCAAAAGAAGAAACATATATCATTTTCTTAGAAAAAGAGAGACTGCTATCAAGAGAGAACCAAAGTAAAGAGTATTTGTTTAGCCATCCATCGGGTGAGCTTCTCAGGTTAAGTTTCTTGCGATTTAGCTTATTCTGTCAAAATATCTTCTTTTTAGATAATATTTTGTGTCAAAATATCTTTTTTTTAGTTAATATTTTGCAGAGATAAACTGAATTAGAACAAACAATACCAGATTGCAGGAATGGATTGTCTAAATCAAGTTCCGATATGATAGCAAAGTTGATGTTTAAGAATCTAAGTGCCCAACCCCTAAATAAACTTATAAGAGTGCCTACAACCTAACAACCAATGTTACGTAAGATCATAATACCTCACAATCCCATCCTAGTGTCTGACAGTGGGAAGTGTGGAGAATGCTAAAGCACCTTAGTAACTTGGAATGACAATCACGTAAGTCATTTACAAAGCCTGCAATTTTATTGGACTGAAAATCTACAACGCAACATTATATCAAAACCATTGACGATTATGAGTGATAAAATTTCGTCAATGCCTAAAATATATTTGAACTTCAATTAAGTTCCTAAAACTTCAATTAATATTTTTTATATTTGTTTAATTGTATGAGTTAGAATTCTTATTAATTTTCTACCAATGCGCATAGTCATAAAGTTCCATCGTAAATTTTTTTTTTGTAATAACCGTGAAACTTAGTTGAGATCATTCTCAAGCTTATTGAGAAATTTTATATTTAAAATAACATAAAATACTTTTGGGTTATAACATGTAACTTTTTTGCATCCAATCCTATTTTATTAACTATAGATTTCAAACAAACCAAAGAATAACAAATGACAACTATACAATTGTTTCTAAAAAATAGGAAATGTTGTATCAAATAGAAGATAATTATTATCTTTTTTTTAATATCTATATATATATATTTATATAGATCACAACATTTACATCTAATTTACTCACTTGAAAAGAAAAAAAAAAAAGGGTAATAGACCACTAATTTATTGAAAAAAAAAGACTAATACTTTAATAAAATTTTTTAAAAATTTTGGAGGAAAATCTATAGTACATTGAATAACATTACGGGAGCTTAATTATAGGCAATCCAAAAGTTAGGGGCAAGTGCCCACGCTATCCCAAGGTGGCTCCGCCCCTGGTATCCACTATCAAAAAATATTGGATACATCATATGCATATACATCAGATCCATATCCAACCGTATTGGATACTTATCGATATTCGACACATATCAGATACAGATACTTCTCCCTACCCAAAATGGCATATCCAGGCATGCATTCACGGTCCTGTAGTTGACAGTGATTCAAAAACATTTTCTGGGTTTATTCAGGAGATGATTCACCCATGGTAATAATATGATGTGTTTCTTCTCTGCCATGAGTTTGTTGGCGGGTCAATTGTTTTTGCTGACCAGCTGTTACTACTGCAGCCTTGAAGTGTGCGAGAGGAGCAAGTTCTTTAACAGTATCGGCAATTTTCTCTGTGCAGGCGACAATGTCTATGAGCAATGAAGCTACAGCAGCGACCGGAACTATGTCCAGCAGATCAGTACTGTCTGGCCACGACCTTGTTTTAAGCAAGGATTTGAGGTGTTTTGCTTCCATTCTTGCATTCTCAATATGGGAATCAGCAGAGGAGGACGGCATAGTCATTGTCCTCATGCCCAATGCTACTTCTTTCAAAGCCAAGCTAGTTTCTGAGGTCATCTTTTTGCATATTTCTTGGATTTTCGCTCCAATTTCTTGTGGCACCTGTAAGAGTAGCTTAAAATTGCATTGTGTTAATCGTAATCTCTCTCTTGTTTCCATATTCGTACTTCCTATATCACATTATTAAAATACATGCCAGATAAGATTTAGAATGTCATGCGGAAGGTCGAATGCACTTAGAAATACCTGAATCTCAGAGGTGAGGTAGCCATTTAGAGCATCAATTCGGAAGGCACATTGTCGAGTGAGGTTTCCAACTTCCAAGTATTTTTCCCAAGGATGCCGGTACCTGAACATGCCATGGCGCGGCTCCCATTTTGCGAAATTCGCCTGCGGACCGAGTATTTTTAATATTTGAAATAAGTTAGAATTGAATTAATTTGTTGATGTAAATACTAAATAGTGATCGGGCTTCGATTCTTACGCACCAAAGATTCTTCAGTGGCCTTTGAATTAATAACACTTTTATATCCTTGCGGAAATTCCTTGTTAACTACGAGTTCTGCACTTGATGCTTTCAAGTATTGGCTTCCAAATTCTGCAAAGTTCACAAAACTTGGTAAGTTCTGTTCTGTAGGTTATAGACAAAAAGATAAATAATACTTTGATTTCCTCACATGGCACTTTCAACATTCGTTAAGAGTTAGTGGGTGCTTGTTTTTGGGGTCAATATAAAATTATTTAACGGGCAATATGAGAAATTCAATAACTCAATAGACAAAGTGAGACTGAGGCATCATTATGGGGATCAAAGTATAATTTATCAGAGAATAGAACACCCAAGAATTGAAGAAAAAAGATGGGTTATATATTTTTTTGGGTGAATTATACTTTACACCCTGAAAGATTTAAATATTTTCATTTTGTATACTCAAAAATTAAATTTTTTATATTGTACTCTTAATGTATCCAAAATATTGTAATATGACCTTTCTGTTAGATTACATTATTTTTTTTGTAAAAAAATTATCCTGTTGACACTAATGGAAAAAAAAACAGAAGGACTATATTATAACACTTTTGATACACCGAAGGGTGGAATATGAAAAATTTAATCTTTGAGCTGTAAAGTGAGGATTTTTAAATCTTTCAGGGTATAAAATATAATTCTTCCTATTTTTTTTGGGATTTTTTTAATTCCAATGTTATGTGAAACTTACTATTAATTCAAATAAAATATTAGATTCAAAAAACATTTTCCATCGCTGAAAACCAACCTTCTAGGAAAGTCGCAATCTTTTCCAGGTTGGAAGCCACAAGAGAGTGAAAATCATCACCAGCCCATACAGGGCAAATGACAACGCATATGATTATAGCAGCAGCGCCACCAATGAGTATGGTGGATAGTCTCTGGTAGGCCATTTGTATCACCTGGTCCGTCCGGTATGCCGATACAGATATTAAACTGAATGTTAATATAAATATTAGAAGTCCATAATCATATCTCGCCTTTATTTTGGGAAAGAATCGCACAAATGTCACTACTGCACCTGCCACACATCAAAATAACTCCAAACGAATCAACAAATGACAAAAATAACTTGATCGATCTTAAAATATTTAGAATCGATCATAAATGTCAATCTTATTGTAACTTGATATTAAAAAATTAAGATTTAATGTAAAAATTTGTAAATTTACCGAATAAGAAGACGGAAAGACCTAGTACTACGGGTTCGAATTTTTCTCCAAAAGAAGTGGCTAAGCGATGGGCTCCAAAACCTAGAGCACCAGCTAACAATGTTGCAAGCCCTCTATTTAGACCTCTTCCAAGGGTTGCCCCTGAAAAATAGGTCAAGTTATAAAATGAAGAAAACATTGATTAGCCATGAAACTAATTAATGAAGCAATTAACCAACTTTAACTTACCCACGGAGAATTCAAAGACGACGACAACAGTCATAATAGCCCACATTGCAGACACACCAAAACCATCGTATAGAGTATCAAAGTAATAGAATAATGATACTGAAGTAATGGCTAATCCAACTTTGACGGAATGAATAATTCTTCTTGGATCTTCTTGTCCAAGTTTCTTTGTCTTGCTTGCAATCTCAAGTACCTTGTGCATTAACTTTTCTGCTAACCCCTTAAACCAACACCTTGCACGACTGACTTGATCAGCTCCATCAGTCTGTTCATTTCTCTGTGCGATTTCCATTGCAAAAAGTAAGGGGGAGAGAGGGGGGAGGGGAGAGGAAGAAGGGGGG